CCCAGAGGGAAATTACAGTAAATGTGGAGAAGCAGCGGGTTTACTCCGAGCCCCTCCCAGATGCAGGACTACAGGATTTGTATTTGAGCTGCTGATATGCTAAAACACAGAACAAAAGCAGCCTACGAAACGTGAACATCTGAAAGAAGAAGAAAGAATTTTTTATATAGAGCCTCTCAAGATAAATATTATGAGGCACATCACAAGGACAAAAAATAAAAATAAAAACAATAAATATAAATAGAAATATATAAAAGCTCATCATCACCAAGCATCATAAAAAAGGAAAATTCAAAAATTTTGAATGAAAAATGAGGACAAAAATAAAGAAAAATATCACATAGGATCCCGAGGAATTGGTAAAGATAGCAGTCTGACAAGAAGGTAGTGGGGAAGAATCAACAGAAGGTCAAAGATAAACATAAATTTCTTTACTAACATTTATTCAAAAAATGTAATTATAAAAATGTTAGTTGAACATTGTAAAGAGTATCCCACAATGAGCATCTTTGCAATAATCTGATTTTAGGTAAAGCAAAACTTTAGATGCATCTATCAACAAAGTGATAAAATGTGAGTCTCTCAAAATAAAGATTATGTAACCGGATACCAACATCACCGCCTGATTTCACCTCAGCATTTCCACGATTCATCAAATATCTGAGTCTTTGTTTTCATTATGTGGAGGAATCTTACATACCCAACTGGAACATTCCTGTTCTCCAGTCTCCATTCACACACACACACACACACACACACACACACACACACACACAAACACACGCACGCACGCACGCGCGCACACACACACACACACACAGTTCTATGCAGATACACAATCGGTTCCTGCCAGCATTTTTCCTCAAACACACTGCGTTCATCACAGAGGTGGGTTTAGGAGATGGTCAGCAGAGAAGCATCTTTTCTGACAATCAGCAGAGGAGTGAAGTTGCTAAGCAACCTTTGGCCTTGATGATGGTAAATGATGTCATGCTTAACAGATGAAACAAGCAGACGACAGGTACGCACATGCAAACATGTGCAGAGCAAACCTCACAGGATGTCAGGAATAATGAGTGTTTTTGACAGTAATCTGGGTTAAAGTAGTATGTTTAATCTTCTCTAATGGTCTCACTGATCTCTGAGTCCATTAAAGGTGACCTTAAATTCACAGAGAGGGAGAGAGAAAGCACAGATTGTTTGTAGAAAATACATCTGGTACTCTTTTGTTTCTCAGGGTTCCTTCAGCCCTAAACTGAACTCCAGCCCTCCGCCTGCTCACACACACACACACACACACACACACACACACACACACACACACACACACACACACACACACACACACACACACACACACACACACACAGTGAAGCTTATTTCTGTCTGCTCCTAGGAAGAGGAGGAGGTAGTGACATGTGGAACGTTATTTGGAGGCTGAGGCTTATAACAGAACGTTTCTATTGCTAATCTTCTCTCTGCTGGTGTTTTAAGTTGCAGGACCTAGAGCGCCACACAGTGCCCTTCCTGTGTCATTGCACATTTCCAAGCGGGAGGTTTCCCTTTAATTATTAAAGATTAAAAACGAAAGCTCACACAGAGCTGAGGTGTTGCTTTGAGGCCGATGAATTTCACAGAATCAGAAAATAATCTGGTGTTGCAGGTAATATCTATGTGCCAAACACAGTTAATATGTGACATTTACATAATGTTAAAGAATTTTTAAAAATACTATTTCTGCATTGATGTGGCAGTTAAATGAAAAATACACACATAAAAAATATCTATACCATTGTAACGTCCTGCAATGGTCCGTTTTTAGGCACTGTTTGACCATCCAACATCTTGGAAAGGAGACACGAGTCTGCACGTGTTCCCTTTAAATCAGCCTGCCTTCCTCCCACCAGCTGTAGCTCAGAGCCTGCAGCTCTGACAGAGATAGTGAAATCATAACAATAACATGCTCTCCTCAAGGTCCCTCACAGTGCACCCTCTTATCTAAGACTCCTTGCTTACAGAAGAAAGAAGATTTAAAATTAAATATGAACTTCTAAAATTTACAAGCTAAACAATCAGTAAATAAATGTTTGTTTATTGCTATTTATAATAATTATAAAATAATGAGATGTTTCATTAATCTGTGCTCAATGATATATGTTTCAGCATGTTTACTTGACCAGGTCATAACATTTGCACTCACACAAGAACAAGTAAGGTAAAGGTGAGTCCATGACACATAAATAGCCTTTACCCCAGATCAGAGCATCCGGTGTCAAAGGTGGTGTCAAGGGCGTGTGTTTCTGAGAATCTTGGTAATATCCCTCAAACTTGTCAACCTCTGGTTGGCTACACGATCATAACATGAGAACATTAAAACCAGATCACTCTGGTGATTCACCAGTTCTAGAGAAGCTTCAGACCGGCCACCTGGAGCAACACCTCTTTAACCATCAAAGCTTTTGACACCTCGTCAAAACCGTTTTGCACCTGCGAAGCTGATGAAGCAAACGGTTCCTGTAGAACAAAGCTGATATTGTTTAGACTCCTTAAGAGTCCCAGACGCGCGGTTCCATCCGTCTGTCGTGACCCGAGACATCTCTAGACTGAAGGGTTGGTGCCACGGTATTCTACAGCCCTCCAGTGCCAAAGGTCATCCGACCTCTCTGACCTTCAGATCCACCAAGATGGTCTCTGAAAACGGGTAATGTAGACACACAGATAGTGTCTGATGTGGTTTTTGATAATAATCAGCTCATAGCTTAACGCAAACCAAATTCTTTTACATCCAGAACGCAGCTCTCCGAGATACAGAGGCTCTGACCAACATTGCATTCACACATAGCTTTCATACATCACATCTAGTTCCATCCATCACAGTAAATGTTAGTTAATTAGTCATGTTTTAATCGTTGGTAAAATAAATTCTTACTTTTATAAACCTGACCGTTTTCTGAATCAAAACGAAGTGTGTACAATCCCCTAATAAATAAAGAATCCTATAATCTTCTGATTAAAGCACAATAAAGACCAGGCAGGGTGATATTCTATATTTAGATAGAGTATCACAGCTTATTGGTCATAAGTAGAGGTAATATATATATTGAGCTCTTAAAGCACTCAATTTACCAAACCCTACACCATTTTTTACCTCAGAATCATGGCCTATTGAAATAAAATTAACATTTGTGATTAAAGATGTAAAACTTCATGAGTAAACGTAATAAAATCCATAAAGAAAATCAGTTAGTGTAGACATCTGCAGGCTGTGGCATTTGTATGGACTTTTGGATGAATAGTAATACAGTCATGAATAAGGTAAAATAAATAAATATGTGTAAACAATAAAATTTATAAATTACATCAATAAAATTATTGGCTGAATCTATGAACGATAACTTGACTTTATGATGTGCTAGTGTCACAGGCTTTTTTAAACCAAGCATTTCCCCATCTATTTTCCATTGGCAGCTAATGTAGGAAATTAGGGTGGAAAACTATATTTATTAAATTATTAACTTGAGGAATATGAGTGTTGTTTATGACCAATCTACGTCTCTTGAAGGCCTCTCAGAAACGCTGGTCCTAATCTGTTTCAATCATTTGAGAAATATCTCCAAACTGCAAAGGGTGGTGCCAAAACATGAACTTGAACTGATTAGCCATGCTTTTATCTCCTCTTGTCTAGATCCGTGGTAACCAACCTTTTTTCACATAGACCCCCTTTCCTGTGTCCACGACAAGCCAGGGCCCCACAACCCCAACTCCTACCCACATGCACACAATTAAGTGAATAATTACTAACATTATACAGGGTTATGCCTCTTACAGAGTTTTGATTGTATTCTTGGATGTCTTTTCTGGATTTTATACAAGCAATTTTTACTGGTCACTTGACGGCCTCAGCACACACAACATTTTGAGGACACCCTTGGGGGGTTACAGACCCCTGGTTGGGAGCCGCTGATCTAGATTACTGTAACACACTGTTCATGTGTTTTAACAAGCAAGCCCTTGACCGCCTTCAGTTGGTCCAGAACTCTGCAGCAAAATTACCAACAGGAGTAATCAGAAGAGCTCACATCCCTCCTATTCTAATGCCTCTGCACTGGTTACCCATTAACTTCAGTTTATTTCAGAATCCTGACTGTAACTTTCAGGGCTCTACATGGTCAAGCGCCTCTTTGTATTACTGAAATATTAAAGCCTTATGCTCCAACCCGAGTCCTCGGGTCCACAAACCAGAACCTTCTGACAGTGGGTCTAAACCTGGCGATCTGTGACCCCCACTTCTTTGAAGAATTTAAAATTTTATGATCAAATCTTAATCCAAATATTGCTATAATCTAATATTTATATATAAAGTTCCATCTCTACTATATGCCAATATCCATTTAACTGTAAAACACATCTAAAAGCCATACTTAGATCAAAGAGCTGCGTGGAATGGTTTGATAAACAAATCTAAACATATAGTTACATTAAAATGTAATATAGCCAGTACTGAAGCCATCCTATTATTTTAATCTGTCCTCTCCAGTTTTAACACTTTAACATCCACACAATAAAAAAGCAATGACTTTTCTGCTTAGATTTTATTCATTTGGAGCAATAGGGCTTAAAATGTTACATTCGGTATGAAATCATTTAAGAAAAAAAATGTAAATTGGTTTTCAGACCGTTGGGATTGGTGGCAAATATTTTATATTTTAATGCAGAATCTGATCAAATACTTTGAATTTTCTAAGATTCAAGAATAAAGCAAGGTCATTGAAATATGTTCAGTTCAATTATGTAGTGGTAAAAACTGGTTTTACAAGTTCATTATTTACATTTCATCTCGGAGCCCAAACTGACAGATTCACGTCATTTATATTTTGAGCAGTCTTTTTTTTTAATTGTTATATTTTCAAAGCCTTAGGACCTTTCTAATTAGCTTAGTCAGACTAGAGGTGACATCAAAACAAACCACAATCACACTTAAATGAATGAAAGCCAGTAAGGATGTTTTTACAGTCATTTTAATGAAAGAAGAAAAATAAATGAAGAAAATGAGGAACTTGTCATTAGTAAGAACACCTGCTCTTTAATTTGTCACATTTCCAGCAGATTTTATGTACATAACATTCACACATTAATAGGACCGTTAATTCACATTAGGAACAGAAATGTGAAAACCCATTTGTCTTTATTAAATAGACCTCCTCAATTTACACTATCCAGTGTGCCAACATGTAACGACGCACTTTAAGAACTAAACTAGGCATTTTGGAGGTTTTAGCTCATTAATATTAACACAAACTTCTCATTTTTCTCCCAAACAGCAACTAAAATGTGTTTTAATGATAAAATTAGTTGGTAAAGCTTTAATCTTGCATGAAGTGCGTCAATGATTTTCCCCAGCCCTCCTGACCCATAAAAAATTACAACCTACACTCATAAGGACAAAAATAAAATAAAATAGACACATTTTCCTATTTGAAAATTATTACAAATAACCAAGAGCTCTAATTTTCAGCAAACATGCTAAAACTTGCAAAATGGCTAGTAGAGTCCTTCAAAAAACAAAGCCAATAATGACTGTGTCAGCGATGATAGTTGAATACTTAAGCCTTGAAACGCAACACTGGTGTGATTCACTCCGAGCAGAAATGATACAAAAGCATCTGTATTTACAAACTAATCAAAGCCAAAGGAAGAGTCATTCTTCCTCCACAAGAAGCAATCATATCCCTGAGTACGGTGTTTGTTATTCCTTATCAATTAAACTGATTGCTGCGTAATCATTTCTCTACGAGTCCTTAGCTCGCCTCTTGGCTGATTAAAACAGTGCTTCAGAGTCACTCTGGAGATGTTTGTGAGCCCCATCGGCTAACATTAAAAGTCCCCGGCAGAGATTTCAGGCACAGCGGAAGCCTGTGTCCGTCTGTAGCGCAGCAGCAACGAGACTCCGATTACCAGTGAGGCTGATCCTGTCAGACAATCAACAGTTTCCTCAAAGGGCTAACGGAAAAATAAACGTTAGCTTTTAGTTAATCATCTCATTTGGAGCTATGAAGGTGACGATATTTGGAAATCAAGCCTGTGGAGTCTCTTCTTCCTCTTCTTTCTCCTTTTCCTCCACTCCTTTGTCTTTGCTCTTCTTGTGTTTCTTCTTCTTCTTGTGTTTGCTCTTGTGCTGCTTGGACTCTCCTTTGTCCTGGCTGCTGTGTTTCTTGTGCTTCTTGTGTCTTTTATGCTTCTTGTGTTTCTTCTTCTTCTTGTCGGCAGCGGTGGTGGTGGCTGAGCCGCTGTGGTTGCTCGCTGACGGGCTGTGGGAGGGTTGGTTGAGAGACGGACTCTGGCTGCTGCTCCGCCCTCTCTCCGGCTCCGAGCCCTCTCCTTCACTGTAGTCGGGCACGAACGCCGCCTCATCGGTCTCACGCGTCAGGTCAGAGCACAGCCGCTGCCTCTTGGGCTCTGGGCCACGACTTTCCTCCCGCCCTCCACCTACCCTTCCTTCAGCTCCTCTCTCCTCCTTCCCAGTCACTCCTCGCCCCTCGTCTCTTCCTCGTCTCTCCTCTTTTGCTGCAGATCTCTTCTCCTCTTTCGACCCTCTAGGCTCATCCCTCACAATTTTTGACTTGACTGGTTTGTCTGAATCTGTCTGTGCAGCCCTGCCACTCTTCCCCTCCTCTTTCAGTGCTTTACCTGTCTTCTCCTCCCTCGAAGCTTCTCGGGCTTCGCTTTTGATAGGTTTGAGGGCTTTGCGGTGGCCCTCTCTCCCATGGCACTGATGAAGCACTGGTGAGGGTTCCTTGATGGGTGCTGGAAGATCTTCCTCCTGCACATCCTCATCATCTTCCCTCTCCCACTTGGAGCGTGGAGGGGGTTGAATGAGGGGCTCCTCTCTAGCAGGACTAAAACTTGGGCTGCGATCACGTCTCCTCACAGGGCTGGATGGAGGTGTATCTGAAGACACACTCTTCTGGTCTTTCTCAGAGTCTGGCTTCTTCTGTTGAGTTGACCTGTTGATGAGGAGAAAATGTTTTAGGTGAAGATTACTGCTTTCGAGGACTCGTATAATTGTAAATAGGACCTGGCACCGTTGCTCATCTTTTAGCAACATTAGCTGATATGCAACATTATGGATGCTACAGCCACTGGAAAAAACAAAAATAATTTATTATGAAAATTTTGATTGATCAATTAATGCTGAATTTTAAGATGGAAAGAAAAATAACTATTGTTATACAGGTCCTTGTCAAAAAATGTGCATGTTGTGATAAAGTTCATTATTGTCTGTAATGTACTGATGAACATTAGACTTTCATATATATTAGATTGATCACACACAACTGAAGTAGTTAAAGCCTCTTATTGTTTCTAATATTGATGATTTTGGCATACAGCTCATGAAAACCCAAAATTCCTATCTAAAAAAATTAGCTTATTTCATCCGACCAATAAAAGAAAAGTGTTTTTAATACAAAAAAGTCAACCTTCTAATAATTATGTTCAGTTATGCACTCAGTACTTGGTCAGGAATCCTTTTGCAGAAATGACTGCTTCAGTCCAGCGTGGCATGGAGGCATTCAGCCTGTGGCACTGCTGAGGTGTTATGGAGGCCCAGGATGCTTCGATAGCGGCCTTAAGCTCATCCAGATTTTTGGATCTTGCGTCTCTCAACTTTCTCTTCACAATCTCCCACAGATTCTCTACGGGGTTCAGGTCAGGAGAGTTGGCAGGCCAGTTGAACACAGTAATACCATGGTCAGTAAACCATTTACCAGTGGTGTTGGCACTGTGAGCAGGCGCCAGGTTGTGCTGAAAAATGAAATCTTCATCTCCATAAAGCTTTTCAGCAGATGGAAGCATGAAGTGCTCCAAAATCTCCTGATAGCTAGCTGCATTGACCCTGCCCTTGATACAACACAGTAGACCAACACCAGCAGCTGACATGACACCCCAGACCATCACTGACTGTGGGTACTTGACACTGGACTTCAGGCGTTTTGGCATTTCCCTCTGCCCAGTCTTCCTCCAGACTCTGGCACCTTGATTTCCGAATGACATGCAAAATTTGCTTTCATCTGAAAAAAGTACTTTGGACCACTGAGCAACAGTCCAGTGCTGCTTCTCTGTAGCCCAGGTCAGGCGCTTCTGCCGCCGTTTCTGGTTCAAAAGTGGCTTGACCTGGGGAATGCGGCACCTGTAGCCCATTTCCTGCACACGCCTGTACACGGTGGCTCTGGATGTTTCTACTCCAGACTCAGTCCACTGCTTCCGCAGGTCCCCCAAGGTCTGGAATCGGTCCTTCTCCACAATCTTCCTCAGGGTCCGGTCACCTCTTCTCGTTGTGCAGCGTTTTCTGTCACACTTTTTCCTTCCCACTGAGGTGCCTTGATACAGCACTCTGGGAACAGCCCATTTGTTCAGAAATTTCTTTGTGTCTTACCCTCTTGCTTGAGGGTGTCAGTGATGGCCTTCTGGACAGCAGTCAGGTTGGCAGTCTTACCCATGATTGCTGTTTTGAGTAATGAACCAGGCTGAGAGTTTTTAAAAGCGTTAGGAATCTTTTGCAGGTGTTTAGAGTTACAGTGGGGCAAAAAAGTATTTAGTCAGCCACCGATTGTGCAAGTTCTCCCACTTAAAATGATGACAGAGGTCAGTAATTTACATCATAGGTACACTTCAAATGTGAGAGACAGAATGTGAAAAAAAATCCATGAATTCACATGGCAGGATTTTTAAATAATTTATTTGTAAATCAGGGTGGAAAATAAGTATTTGGTCAATAACAAAAATTCAACTCAATACTTTGTAACATAACCTTTGTTGGCAATAACAGGTCAAACGATTACTATAGGTCTTTACCAGGTTTGCGCACACAGTAGCTGGTATTTTGGCCCATTCCTCCATGCAGATCTTCTCGAGAGCAGTGATGTTTTGGGGCTATCGCCGAGCAACACAGACTTTCAACTCCCTCCACAGATTTTCTATGGGGTTGAGGTCTGGAGACTGGCTAGGCCACTCCAGGACTTTCAAATGCTTCTTACGGAGCCACTCCTTTGTTGCCCGGGCGGTGTGTTTGGGATCATTGTCATGTTGGAAGACCCAGCCACGTTTCATCTTCAAACCTCTCACTGATGGAAGGATGTTTTGGCTCAAAATCTCACGATACATGGCCCCATTCATTCTGTCCTTAACACGGATCAGTCGTCCTGTCCCCTTAGCAGAAAAACAGCCCCAAAGCATGATGTTCCCACCCCCATGCTTCACAGTAGGTATGGTATTCTTGGGATGCAACTCAGTACTCTTCTTCCTCCAAACACGACGAGTTGAGTTTATACCAAAACGTTCTACTTTGGTTTCATCTGACCACATGACATTCTCCCAGTCCTCTGCTGTATCATCCATGTGCTCTCTGGCAAACTTCAGATGGGCCTAGGCATGCACTGGCTTCAGCAGCAGAACACGTCTGGCACTGCAGGATTTGATTCCCTGCCGTTGTAGTGTGTTACTGATGGTGACCTTTGTTACTGTGGTCCCAGCTCTCTGCAGGTCATTCACCAGGTCCCCACGTGTGGTTCTGGGATTCTTGCTCACCGTTCTCATGATCATTTTGACCCCACGGGATGAGATCTTGCGTGGAGCCCCAGATCGAGGGAGATTATCAGTGGTCTTGTATGTCTTCCATTTTCTGATAATTGCTCCCACAGTTGATTTTTTCACACCAAGCTGCTTGCCTATTGTAGATTCACTCTTCCCAGTCTGGTGCAGGTCTACAATTCTTTTCCTGGTGTCCTTCGAAAGCTCTTTGGTCTTGGCCATAGTAGAGTTTGGAGTCTGACTATTTGAGGCTGTGGACAGGTGTCTTTTATACAGATAATGAGTTCAAACAGGTGCCATTACTACAGGTAACGAGTGGAGGACAGAAAAGATTCTTAAAGAAGACGTTACAGGTTGGTGAGAGCCAGAGATTTTCCTTGTTTGAAGTGACCAAATACTTATTTTCCACCCTGGTTTACAAATAAATTCTTTAAAAATCCTGCCATGTGAATTCATGGATTTTTTTTTTCACATTCTGTCTCTCACAGTTGAAGTGTACCTATGATGTAAATTACTGACCTCTGTCATCATTTTAAGTGGGAGAACTTGCACAGTCGGTGGCTGACTAAATACTTTTTTGCCCCACTGTAGTTGATTCAGATGATTAGGTTAATAGCTCGTTTAGAGAACATTTCCATGATATGATAATTTTTTTAGATAGGACTGTTGGGTTTTTATGAGCTGTATGCCAAAATCATCAATATTAGAAACAATAAAAGGCTTGAACTACTTCAGTTGTGTGTAATGAATCTAATATATATGAAAGTCTAATGCTTATCAGTGCATTAGACAATAATTAACTTTATCACAATATGCTAATTTTTTGAGAATGACCTGTAAAAAAGTTGGTTATCCATCCCTGCATGCAACCATCTTCATCCGCTTATCCATGGGTCATTGATCACACCCAATTTTTTTAAAGCTGTCAACAGTGTTTACTAAAAATAAAAAGCAAATGTTTTAGATTATCCATAGAAATAACCTTATTCCCTTTTTCTATGATGTTAATGGAAGTTTGACTCACGCAATCAAAAAGGCCCAAGTGGCATGTTCCAAAGCAGACATTTAAAATTAACACTTACTTGGAGCTCGCCGTATGGCTCGGCAGGGCCTTACGGCCGATCTTGGGTTTGCTCTTCGCAGTCGCCTCCTGACCATTGTTACCCCCTGAAAGAGGAAAAAACGTTTAATTAATACTTAATTAAAGGGCAGATGATAAAAATCAATCATCCGTTGCAGCACTTATCCTGAGCTTTTAATTACCTTCTTTTTGAGCAGCAGATGGTTTTTCTCCTGGGAGGGAACTCTTCTCTATTTTGTCCTTGGACTCACTTCTGGGAAATGAAGGAATATAATTACCCTTTTTAGCAACGGTGTTTACAGACAGAACGGCGGTAATATGAAGGGTTTAGGTCATAGATATGGAAAGCTAAAAAGCAGCAGAATATAAAGATAATAACCTGTCAGACTTGGCAGATACACTTGGTTTCTCTTGTTCTGCCTGTTTTTTGGAGATGGCAGATTTCTCTCCGATCGTCATTTTATCCAAAGATATGGACCTTCCTCCCCGGCTTCCACCATTAGAGCTTTTTCGTCCTGTCTTTAACTTTTCTCCCTCTGTGTCTTTGTCCACTGCTGCTTTCTGTGAGCCTGAAGAGACTTTGTCCTTTTCCTTGTTGGGGCCCAAATCCTTGTCTCTATCCAAACCAGAAGGCCTGTCTCGCTCTCTGTTCTTCTCTTTGTCTGAGCCACGGTGTCTTTCTCCAGCGCTGCTTGGTCTGTCTCTGGAGGCTCCCCTTTCAGCAGATGTTGATCGTTCCTTCCTTCCAGCCCCCTCTGTAGTGGCCCTAAGTCTGTCTCCTTCAAAGACTTTTACAGCAGTGGAGCTTGTTTTGTCGAGACCCGACTGTTTTCGATCAGCAGGTGGTGTCTCTGTACTGCCTCTTCTCCCCAAGTCTCTGTTCAGCTTTATTCTTCTTAATGGTTTCTGTCCAAAACAAGTTTTTATTTTTTACATGTTTATATAATTTTTTTTACTGATTTCCTAATAGCAACATATTTTTGAGGACCAAGGTGATGCTTACCTGAACGTCCAACTGAGGTCGAATGGCTCCTCGATCCAGGTCCCCTCGGCCCAGATCGGCCCCTGGTAGGGAGAGTCTAGGCCTGTCTGAAGGGTGTGGGAGTCTGTGGAATGGGGGCTGATGGATGTGTGAGTAAAAGGCAGTCTCAAGTCCTCCTCCCAATCCATCTATTCTCCTTAGCTTGTCAGGGGGAGGTCCAAGTAAACTGTGACCCTCCTCTCCAAATTTCCTCCAACTATCTATTGGGAATGGAGGTCTGGGAATTAGAGGCGGTCTGCTGGGATGAGGAAGGAGACCAGCACTCTTTGACAGATCTCTTCTATCCTGTACATCGTGCCCGGGGCGAGTGCCATCGTGAAGAGCAACACGGAGTAAAGGCAGATTTTGGGAGGACTTTGGAGGGGTCTTCGCAGGCAGGGGCCGTACCGTGGAGCTTTTACTCTTCTCCTTATTAGGTACAGCTGAGTTTGAGGCATCGTCTGGTTTGGTTTTAATGGACTTTAATGGTTTAGTGACAGATGAGATTGAAGAGTCTTTTTTGTTGGTCAACACAATATCTCCAGATGTTTTCTTGACTTTGTCACTCTTAGCCTTCATCCCCTCTGTCTTGACTTTAGTTTTTACCTTTAGACCTTTTTCTTTCTTAGTTTTATCCAACTGGTTCTTTGACATTACCTTGGTTACAGGTTTACTGGGTGTAGCAGTACCTTTAGCCACTGGGGCTTTAGTACCCGGAGCAACACCTGAAGGCTTTGAAGTGATGGGAGGCGTTTTACTGAGTGATGATAATTCATCCATTGGTTCATCTCTGACAGGTGTGGCATCCCCTCTGTCGAGTGACTGAGATAATTCTGGTTCCTCTCCAGACTTTCGCTTTCTGATTTTCTTTGTCTTCAACATTTTAGTACCAGACTTTGTCCCTGATGCAGCAGAAGGGAGACGATGAGGTGGGCCACCTCTCTCCTCCTTCCCTCGTCTTCCTCTGCCTTGGGGAGAGCAATCCCTAGACGATGACGATATTTTTCCTCGTTCCCGGTCTCGGCTTCCATGAGCTTTGTGATGCAGGTTGTCATAGTCTTTGTAATACTTGTTGTACCAGTCTGTGTACTCCTTCTCCCATTGTCGATATCGCTCTCTTCCCCAACGCTCAGGTCCTCCAGGACTTGCTCCCTTTAGGTCAAATGGCACCAAGTCCCGAGGAGGTGGCTTTCGTCCGCCAGGGCTATGGCTTCGATAGCCACCAGGAGAACGTGATCTTGACCTGTAGGGTCTGACACCTTCTGCACCATCCCATCCAGCTCCACGATAGGAGACAGGAGATCGTGGTGACCCCGAGCGCCGGTGGCCATAAGACCTTGAGCGAGAGCGGGATCTTGATCGTGAACGTCCATAATTGCGTCCACTGCGTCTAGAATAAGGGGAGCGACCATAAGAGCGACCATAAGAGCGGCCATGGGAGCGAGAACGAGATCGACTCAGAGAAAAACCGTAAGACCCAGATCTTGATCTAGGCCTGGATCTTGATCTAGACCGGCTGAACGGTGAGCGGCTGAACGGTGAGCGGCTGAATGGTGAGCGACTATATGACCGGGACCTAGAAAAGAAAAAAAAATAAAAATTAGTGCGCTGACAAACAAGAAGGCAGAGGCAAATTTAAATCAGCAATACTATAAATTATTCTGGAATATCTGAACCACCACTGTTAAATTTGATTCCCCATAACACACAAATGGAGCCTTTTTTACTTTCTATAAACTTTTCTTGTGTCTGCTCCTTTGCAATGTGCTTTGAGCCTAAATACATATTAGCATTAAAATCACCTGGAATAAGATCGTCTCGGTCTCTTTGGTGGATTTCTGTATTGAATCAGCTCTTCATGGAAGTTTTTAGTGAATTCTTCCAATTTGGATGAAACTCTGAATAAAGAGACAACACAAAAAATGGTCACTTATTTTTTCCATTAGAAACATGTTAACATACTAAGGTATGTTCAAATCACCAAAGCGTATTTAAGACAAACTCACTTGTTCTGTCGGTGGTGCCTTTGTGTGAGAAAATCCTCTTCCGAAAGAGGCGGCTGTGATAAAGGTGGTAAAGGAACAAGAGGGGGTTGGACACTAGGGGGGACCCAGGAAGGGTTGAGCCCTGGAGGTCCAGGGCCATAGACAGGCTGAGGCTGGAAACTGATGGCAGGTGGGGGAATAAGACCCGGTCCAGAGCCGTATGGAGGAGGGTAGTGCTGGGGAGGGGGCAGGTACAGGGTAGATGGGTAGACTTGAGGGACTGGTACAGGAGGTGGAGCTGCCTGCATGTGACTGGAGGGATGGTCTCCTCTACTTCTGTACCTGATACACATAAACATATATATAAACAGTAATATAAAGCGTGAGGCCGACATAAACAGATGGCAAATTTAAGTAGATCATGTTTGTGTGTGATTTTTACCAGTGTCTATTCCTTCCTCTGTGGGGCTGGTTAGGCATCGTCTGGTGACCTATTAGAGTAGTCACACAGCTTGTTAGTTTTTTTCATAAGCCCTTTTTACAAGTCAGCGTAATCTTACTGCAACGGCATGTCTTATAAGTGCTCCGTGCTGGCATGGCAATGCGAGAATTTTACAGCATTCGTTCTACCTCGCTTGGAAGTAATATTGCGGTAATTGTCTGCCCTATAAACGGCGATTGTGCCTTGGCACAACAGAGGGAGATGTCATGATCACGTGGAGTTACTGCCAAGCTACGGACGGCAACTATGTTGAAAGTAAAAGTAAACACAAACAATAAGTTTCGCTTTTGTAAACAGAAGCAGCTGAAATGATAAACTGAAGCAATGCAGTGCTTCATGAGCTTCACTCTATTAGAGATGGAACTCAGATCACCAGAGACTGCATGGGAACTGTGGGAAACAGACACCTTTGGGAGCGGCTTCCATTGCAATGAAAAGCAAGTTATGTCCAAGATAAACGGAAGTCTGCAGCAGTGCAAAGACTGACCACTTATAAACGAGCTATGGCTCCCTGATGCTGCCACTGCATTGCAGCAAACTGACTGCATTGTTCTGTAAAAACTGCTAGTCTCGCATTTGATCTTTAGTAAGTTAAGCCTCTGACCTGATGGGTGACTTGGTCTTGCAGCTGGCAGGTGGTTAATGACCGGTAAACTGTAGCTCTGTAGACAAGAGGTTAGAACACTAGTTACATTCAGAGAAGCTGAAGACTTTTTTTGTTAAGAGCTGTAAATTAAAGTTAAAGCTACTAGTATACTAGATGAGCCTACTTGTGGTGGATTTTCTGGCAGTCCAGGAGAGTAATGCCTCACAGGTGGTTCTGCCTCAGCCTCTCTGAGGAGCACATTTAGACAAATTAAAGTCCTCAATCCCATTTCTTTCTTCTCATTTGAATAAAAATAAACCAGTGAGTTTTGACTACTTACCCTAATGGGGGTGGGTCACTGTGAATGCTTGAATGCACAGGAGAATGACTGTCAGCAACAGGTTCAGGAACTGGTGAAGCCTGGCCTTCATCTTCAGCAGCATGAGGTGGACTAGGAGTTGCAGGAGGAGTGGCAGATGCAGCAGTAGAAGATGCAGGGGGTGGGACTTCTGCTTTAGGGGGTGTTGAGGGTGCACTTGTTGGAAGAGGGTTAGAAACATTAGCCAGAAGGGGGTCCTGCTGTCTTGAGTGTAGAGGTCTGGCTAATTGTAGGCGAGGTGGAGGGGGGACTGGAGGCTGGATCTGTTTGCGTCCCTGCTTGGTGTATCCGGTCTCGTTTTTGAAGTTGTTAACAGCCTACAGGACAAACGGGAGTTTAAGGATCAGTTGAAATATATGTAGCCTCAAAACAAAATCCACATTAAAATGCAAGTATTGAAAGACTACCTGTCGGAGAAACTTGTTAGCAATGAGATTATCAGGTGAAACGTCCGACTGTTTGCATGTGAAGCAGATGTGCTCCTCTGAGTCCAACAAGAAAGTTCTGATACCTGGAAACAGACAAACCACCTTGTATGTCAGACAGGAACTTCTCAAAACATTTTCCTTGGATCTTGAATTATCTACGAGTGGAATATCACATGGTACTCCATGAGCTATCGATCAGAAACATTCTCTTGGGTCATTAGACACATATACCTCTAAATCAAATGCAAAAATCCCCTTTAAAAGTTAGTAACTCACAGTCATCACAGTAACTGTTTCCACAGCAGGGTATGACCACAGCATCGGTCATCAGGTTATTGCAGATCGGACACAAGAGCTCATCTGGGATCGGATCAGCCTCATCCTCGGACGACGACTGCTCATGAGGGACAAATGGAGGGCGCTCCTTCTTCCCTTGAGCATATGCCTCTCTATTGAGAGTGGAATCTTTTTAGTTTCAGGGGTAAAGCTATATTAACTCATTTGTTCTTTATGAAATATAAACACAATTGTCCATTGTGCTATACATATACAACACACTGAAACATTCAGCTGACACATACGCATCAATGGCAGGTATGGCATATTCTCCGGTGCTCGTCAACATGGCTCCCTTTGCTCCTGGCTCCACTTTCACCATGAAGCTCTGTGGTATGCCCTTACTGGTTTTAACTGGCTTGGGACCGTCAACACTTTTGTCCTCCGCCTGAAATTTCAGAAACCAAAACAATATTGCTGAACTCTTAAGAGGAAGAACAAAAAACATGTGTTGTTGCAATAATTAAACAAGACAGAATATTACCAAAATTAGGGGGCAATGCCGAATGTGGTGACCGGTCTTTCTGCATCGATAGCAGGTATAATTAGCTGGAGGGGGTCCGACTGCCTTTTTTGAGTAACTAAAAGGACAAAGTAAATGAGATAACTCTATCCAAACATTCTGTCAGTTAGATTCATTAGTTTGAGGTGCAAAATAGATAAATAAGGAGCGTTACTAACTGGATGGGATCATATTCATGATTTGACTGAGTCATCATGGCTTTAATCTTGTCTTCTTCAGAGGCATCTGCATCAACCAGGTTTGCAGTCTATAAAGCAAAGTGGAATGAGTCAAAAAATATGTAGAAAAGGAAATGATGAGGGGGAAACAGACGTTTCTTTATGTAGGGAAGTGGTCTTAAGGAAGTGTAGTAACCATAACCAAAGAGTACCTTGGCAAGCTGGGCGAGAGTCAAAGAAGGAGAAGAATCCGTCTGCAGGAGAATCAGAGTATATGAATGAAAAACATGTTTAACATGTTTATTTAACATATTTATTGGAAGACGAGCCCAGTTTCCAACATCTGAGTCGAGTCCACTTTAGTCTTCGTAACATATTAGGACCATTGTTTCACACTTGAGTGATCAAAGTAACAGGCAGAGAAATTAGTTTTTACCTCAAACGTGATTATAACATTAGGTTTAGCTTCCTGTTGGCTGTTATTACCCAAAAATCTAGAGGGAGCTATTAAAAATCCATAACTTGTGTATTTTAAATAAAACCTGTGATTTATAAGTAGTCCACATTAAAGGCTCTTCTATTCTTTTAAAAGGTGCCAACACATAAAAACACAGGTTTCCTGCTCTTCAATTTGCACCACTTAAGCCCCCCCCCCCCTCCCTACCTCCCCCAATAAATACAGTACAATGAAATTAATTTAACATAGAACAGGTATCCTACATACCACCTCTCCAACTATGTGGTCATAATAGCAAATCCTAAAAGTAGATTACTAACAGATTAAATTTCCTTTTGCAGGTTAGGGATTTAGTTTTGCACCAAAACTTTAAACGTGGCTAGAATGACCATTTCAAGTCAATTATTTGATTTACATTACTAGCACACCACTTTGTTAGCTACCTAAATAAACAGTCAAAAAAATTAATAAATGGCTGGGAAGTCCCAAACCTTTCAGCTGTCAACCTAAAAAATAACATATTGACACCAACCAGCCGTAGTTCAAAGTTTGCTAATCAGCCAATGAACTTTGTTCTTCTTTGATCACAATAGTTTTAGTCTTGTGATAATAATGATTAAAAACAGGCTTTTTGTAGTATTTTTTTATCTAACAAAGCTTCTGGAAATCATCTCAGGACCCCACAATAGGCGTTTCCCGGTCAGCGAAAAGTGAGCAACCACCTAGAAGTCATTGCCAGCTGCCTTTCTTAACAAAGAGTTTTTACAAAGTCACATTTGTAAAGCTGGTCAGTAGTTAATGTCTACTTCTAAGCAGAAAGAAACACCCGATATTCTACTCTGGTAATTCTAAAGCTGTGCTGCCACATTATTTAATCATAATAGTTTTGTAAGTAAATATGCTAATAAGGCAGAGCCCATTCAAATCCAAAGGACTTGGAGAAAACACCAGTTATTGCAGTATGCTGTGGAGGGAACACACAGGGACCTGGTGCAAGCAGTTCTGACACTGAACCACTGAACAACTTTATTAATAAGGTTCTGGAGCTTGCAGCTTACAGGACACACTACACCAGAACTGCAGTAACCATTAAAGGCCTTCCTTTTACTGTTTATGTGTCTTAATAATTGTGATAGTGTCACAACATCACAGGTAAAAGCTGAATCGCAGCATGTTATCAAAATGTTTCTACTGGTCTCCCAAACCACACTTGTACAATTACATTTTGGACCGGTTGTGGATTGTTCGTAAATAAAGCACCGGGAATCTGAAAAAGGGTCAAATACTGATAGGGCTTACGATTAATGAGCAGTCCATAACAAAACATATACTGTATGGTATTGTACAAGACAAAACTGACATTGATAAGTGTTACTCAACAACACATCTGAGAATAATTTATGTTTAGCAGGTAAAACCTCAGTCAAAATTCCGAGTAAGTAAATAAAACAAGCTGGTAGAATTACTCCACTCACAACTTTAGTCTTGTAAATGAAATCAAATTAATTACAATCAACTTTCATCCCTTTGGGTTCTTAAACCAGATATTTTCACAGAAAACAATCCACAGTCAATTATCAATACAAAAAGACCATGTTTCCTTTTCACAAATACCTTTAAAAACATTTGCTTGATTTGAATCAGGCTACAAAACCATTTCAATATGAAATACAGTCATGATTAATAATTCGTCAGTAACTTGTGACGTGGCAACAATTCAACACTTATGTCATTTCAATGCATTAGGAAGGTTGTCTGGTCTGAGTTTCCCCCTTTACTCGTGTGAAAGAAATGCACTTTAATTAGAGCGTTATAAAACAGTCATAACACCATGGGTTTTTGCAAAAAGATTAACAAACTGTGTTAACTGCCCTGACTTTAGCAGACATCAAATAACACAGATGTTGAGATCAACACAAATTTAGAAAACACAAAATGAACAGAAAATACAACTTGATTTTTGTCAACAGAATGTTCTTGAGAAAGGTGCCAGATAGAGTGAGATAGAGAGAGGTGAGGAGGAGGTGGTGAGTGTGTTGTTTTTGGGTTGTTTTTACATACGGGTCTAGAAGATCCAACCATAGCTGTTTCAGAACGATCTCTGTAAAAACAATGACAAATATGATTGCCCAATACCAGGACCTGGGATTTATTAGTCATCGAAAGGACATTGCTATAAGGACACTACCAATACTGGGTAATAATGTTTTAGAGTGAGCATACTCACACAATGAACGTCCTGCTAGCAGGTTTCACTCCTCCAATTGGAGTACGGCGGACGATGACAGATGAATGTTTTGGAATGTGTGCTTCATCATCTGTGTATTCTACAAAATTCCACAAAACAATAAGTCAGAACTGGACAGAGCAAACAAAATTCAAATACAGAACAACTTGATAAAACTTAAGTTGCGAAACTGACAACCATGGCATGTCTTCTGTATGTTGTGCTTTGGTCTGCTACAGACAACTTATACTCTAACTGAATGATAAAGGTATGCAGAAATTCTTTACTTAATTGCAGGTGTGAAATCTAAATACTGCTAAAACCTTTATTATTCCCATCACCGTCATTTACACAACAAACGCTGGTTGATGGGCACAACACTAAACATTGTGTAATAATGTGTGACGTCAGAAGTACCTTCTCGAGTCTGCGCATTGGTGATCTGCAGGTCACAGTCTGTAGCCTTGAGCCTCTCCCGGGCCATAATCTGCTTCTTAAGCTCACCGAGGGTGATATGCAGCCCATCGAAAGTGACTGTGTTGTAGTCCAGTATGGAAGAAAATTTATAGTGAACACACGACATTTTTATAGCTCTGAGTACTCAAAGTCAGACAAAATGTGTTGTTTTCCCCTAAAGAACACAGGTCTGTTATTAGGAAATTAAACAGCGTCAACACTGGACACAGTCTAAATACGGTAACTTTAATTGGTAACGTTATGTTCGATGAAACACTTGACAAAGTAAAATACTAAAATAGAAAAAGGTTCAGCTTGCAGATGACGACACAGTTAAGAAAAACGAACGAGCCGAGGCCAAAGCGCCATTTTGGAGGCACCGTGTACCTCGACAGTCCTTCACAGTCCCATAGCACACGTCAGTGTGCGAGCAAATCCAAAAGTGTCCATGCAGCGACGTGTTTTATTACACGTTAACGAGGTCAAGTCCCTGATGAATAGTCCTTGATGGAAAGAAAGCCTGAAACGGCCTGCCGCAAGCTGCGGGCCTATGGGATTCCCGACAGTCCTTATGGCTTCCTTCTGTTACTGTTCTTTTAGGCAAACAGGCCCCACAAAAAGTCCCGAACGAGTCCAAGGTTGGTATTACTGCTGCCAGACCTAAACTATTCTTTCAAAAATCGCAACGTCTCCCGTGTAAAATGCTAATGCAGAAAACGCTTTAACACTCGCCTCGCGGCTCACACACACGAACGAGCTAACAATAGCTAACGTCTAGCGAAGCTGAGCTAACAGTAATACCACAGCCCGATGACCAAATCCACCCGGTTACACAGTCAGAGGAAGAATCCACTTATCCCATTAATTATTTTCCCGCACAAAAAAAGAAGTTATCCGAATTAGTATTTGGGGTTTAATCCATAAAATCCATTTCGGTGGTCCACGACACTTCTTCTTCTCGCTGTTTCATCAAAATGGCGTTGGACGGAACCGGATGTAGTTGGGCTCATCCCAAGACTCGTAGTGGCCAGCCGCCATCTTGGATCGGTCTCCAATCGCCCCGGTAAATATTTTTTCTACTGAGGAAGATTTTTATTTAGCTTACTTAATTATAGTTATATTTGAATTATCATATGTCTGATTTTGTGGTAAGCATACTTAAATATTTTCTTTTAGTTATGTAAAAACCTTCCTGAATAGAAAAATATTTACCGGTGGTGAATGGAGACCCATCCAAGATGGCGGCCACTACGGCAGCTGTAATTGGCAGCACCAGCCCACGGGGAATCTTCTACATTTGATGTCTGTGGTTACGTCCAATCACTTGCATAGGGAGCCTAAGTCTCCTCCTATTCTGGTTGGCTCATGGGTCCCCGGAAGAAAGCAAATGAATGCAAGTCAATGGTTGGGGCCAAAAGCCCTGGAGCTATAAAACTATTTTCTAATCTGCTTTGCCTTACGCACTGAATCACACATATATTGTACTTCAATTTAAATAAAATGAAATGGTGTGAGTTTCAACCATGCCTTTCAGGTACTTTGAGATTTGTTAGCTTGTAAAAATTCATAATTTAAACAACTACAAATCAGACATTGCATATATGATGTCGCCGCAAAATCTCTTTTCCCCCTGTGCAGTTGCTACTTACCACATGGCCAGATTTATAGTGGTCTTCCCCATGTTTAATGATCATGTCTAAGCGGCAGCTGTTACACACCTGCTTAGACTCTATTAAAACCTGGATGACTGGGAACTGTCGATAGCTGAATAAAGCTAAGACTTCCTCATCTATGTCCCAAACAAGCTGGTTTTAGGGCCCTACATGGATGAGCACCAACACATTGTTGATCTTCTTAGTACCTACACACAGCAGGTCCCTGAGGTCCAGTGATCAAAGCCTACTGGCTGTGCAGCACACCAGGCAATTTTTTAACCTTTGTTACACCAGATGAGTCAACTGAGAACTCATTCTCATTTACAAAGACGATCTGGCCAAGAAGCAGCAGCAACAGACACATCATTACATAGTTACATAAAAGAAAAACATATAAGATAAGATTTAAAAAAAATTAGACATAAAGGCAAAGGACTGTTCTCATATGCATTAAGTACAAGCAATCAAAACAGACTTAAAACTGTCTTTAAGTACTCAAGCAGGCAGAAGAACAAAGGTGACAGATCATTTGCTGCTGCGGCCCCCAGACTCTGGAACTCTCTCCCTCTGAGCCTGAGATCAGTGCACTCAGTGGTCTCCTTTAAAAAGCAGCCGAAAACTCCCTTGTTCAAGCTGGCTTTTGTATGACCTTCTTCACCACCTTGATCCACTATTTCCCTCATTCCCATTCATTTTCTCCTAGCCTTTCCCTGCATTTTTAACACAATTGTTGTTTTGTCTTCTAATTTTTTAATACATTTTCAAAGATGTTTTGTATTTTGAATTTTTTGTTCTTGTGAAGCGCCTTGTGATTTTAATCTCAAGAGGCACTAAATAAAAGATAATTTTCTTTCTTTCTCTTTCTTTTTCTTTCTTTCTTTCTTTCTTTCTTTCTTTCTTTCTTTCTTTCTTTCTTTCTTTCTTTCTTTCTTTCTTTCTTTCTTTCTTTCTTTCTTTCTTTCTTTCTTCTCCTTCTCGGAAGAATGATTAGAAGCTTGTTTAATCTTCTCTTCTCCGTGTCTGTTTCAATGACATCAGTTGTCCTGCACGTCTTTTAACACAAAACCTATAATAACTTTTGCCGCTGTTCAAAAATAAGTGCTTTCTTGGCATCCAAATATGTCTTGAAGATTCACAGATTTCATATCCATGGCACATATCAAACAGGATTAGAAAATAGCTTTTATAGCCCCATTAACTGCTTACATTTGTCTTATTTCTGGGGACTGTTGTCCAGAAGTAGATGGATGTGACTTAGGCTTCCTATGGAAGAGGACATTTGTAGCCTACACAAAGAACAGAAGGATAACGCACGATTGATATACTGTTCAGGTATTTTCAATAATTTTATTTCAGTGTTGTTTTCATACATGACTCCCATATACGGTTTGCTGTCATCTTTCCCTTTTTACCTGTCTTTTCCCCATCACACACTGCACAACAAGCTGCTATGGGCAGTGTAAAACAGCAGCCATGCGGCCCATGGTAAATACTTGGGACAGTCTCCAAAAAATAAGAAGAAACATTAATTAAAACGATCAAAGATTACAAGAATGTCAAGCTGCTTGGTGCCAAAATATTAAAAATTAAGTATTGTCAAAAATATTAAAAGATAATGTTAAGCTCACTTATTATTGTCTAATTTCTGCAAACACAAGGAAATAAGAAAAAAGCATTAAAAAGGTGAGCATTAAGATCAAAGTGGTGTTTTCAGTCAATCATGTTCATCATGGCTGCTTTAAATTTTGCTCTGAGTGCTGCTGCCATGGTAACATCCCAGGCTTTTTGATTTGCCCGCTGTTTTCTGATGCACGGTACATCCTTTAAAGCTGTTTGTCCTGCAGCATCATCATCGGTAACATGGCTCATTCATGCATGTACACACACAGGAAGGCCTTGATATATTGTCAGTACTGGGGGTCTGTTACTATAAACTAGATGTTCTGGTGATCGTGCATTTGTACTTGGCTCTGATATTTGCTTCTTTGTGCATGAATGGACATTTGAATATTTGCTCTTACACAAAGACAGCTGAAGTGGTCTGTATAATACGAATGCATTTACTCAACATATACACTATGAAATACACTTATTTTGCCAGAAGCTGTTAATGTAAACATTTATATTATGTAAATAAGAACTCTGACATCACCATAATGGCAGAATGTTCAGACACACAAACAACATTTAGTTGGACTCTAATGCGTTTAATTGGGTTTGATTTTGTGCATGGAGCAAAAGAGAACAAGACACAGTTATGTCACTGTCAGGTGCGCGCGTGTGTGTGTGTGTGTGTGTGTGTGTGTGTGTGTGTGTGTGTGTGTGTGTGTGTGTGTGTGTGTGAGCACATACATGACATACTGATTCTTAAATGTCCATGAAGCCATTCTCACAAAACCAAAAAAGCCCATGCGTCATGACCAGTAAAAGTCAAACAACACATTTGCAGCAACATACTTTTAGTAACATTTGCAACGTTGCAGTTTTTAGTTCTGTCCAACATCAAAATAGTTTTTTGCAAACATACTGAGTTCATAGCAAAAGTAATGAGTGGTCTGTGCTTAGTGGGGGTCAATCCATGTGTGAAAGTGATGTAACTTCCATCACTACATCAAGGCTGAAACAACTCTTCCACCATCAACTTATAAAGAAACCACCACAAATGAAACTATTACTCAATGAAAGAAGTATTATTCCAATATGGTGAGCTATCTGATTAGATTTTGCACCTAATTTCAGATCCAACATAAAGATCAAGACAAGATATGAGTGATGAGTGAGGTACCTTCATTCACCTCTTTCCACCCTTTCTGTTTTGACACAGGTTAAATGATTCAACCTTTAGCCTTTATATTCCTTGATCATTTAAAGGTGTGATTCACTGAAAAACCATTTTTAACCCTCCCACTGTCTTTATGGGTGACCCTGTGAGGATAGTTGACCATTGAGCAGGATTGATGGTTTATCCCTTGAGGTCGACGTGGCAGGGGTGAGGTGGTGCTCACTTCTCACCGCTGCCACATGGACCCAAGGGATGAACCATCAACCCTACACAACGGTCAGCTTTCCTCGAGGACTCACACCCATTGGGACAGTGGGAGGGTTAAATATTTTTTCTGATTATAATCAGTCACGCTGAGATTTTCATGCAGGCTGAACATGAAAACAGTCTCCTACACCTATCTCCTGCGTAAGCTTCTGACAGAAAATAGTTGGTGAAATGCTAGGATTGGAAAATCCTCACACTGTGATATCACACTGTGAATTAGCATTTATGGCCTCGCCCACTTTGACTCGTACCCACCCACAGGAAGGCTTTTTTTTTTTTGCAGCGAGGAGAGAGAAGGTGGAGAGTGTGTTGGTAATAGTGACCTTGAAACATGGCGGAAGGCATTCTGTTAGCCACTCAGAAGCAAGGTGTGTTCATACCATTAATAATAATGAGAAACCCTCCTGTTTTCAGCGCAGTTCTGCACCAGCAAACTTCTGCATCTCAGAACTGGAGCTTTTTTTTAAATTACTTATAAGGCATCGGCTTACAATAGAGACCGAAAATGTATTGAATAAACAAGTAAACTACACCTTTGATATCACTGATCACAGTTTAGACCTATCACTTATTTTCTGTGTGGAAACGTTTAAATTTCAATAACGGTTTATTTTTTCCATCAAATTTCACAATTTTTTCCTCTTACATGTTTCAATTATCATTTCTTGACCCTAAAACAAGATATTATGAAGTATAATCTACGTATCCCAGAAAGTATAGTTCATTTGTTTGGGTTAAATCATCTGTTGCCTATAACGAATTGCAATTTACAGAGTCTCTATGTATGAATTAAATCCAGTTTTTTTTTTACTTATTAATGTGTTTTGGCCTTGCATACAGTATTATGTAGTTATTATCTGCATGACTTTTTCTTATTCCCAGAATGACTTACACACATTTTCATGCACACAAACTACAGGCGATTCTACTGTAGCATACACCAATTAGATCTTCTCAAAATCACATTCTCATTTACTCATTTTTCTCAATAAGTACAGCACATGAAATGTATATTTAAAAGCTTAATTTTGTCCTGACAAACAACTGACTAACAGAAAAGCATAAAAGACCAATCCAAATCAAGAGGAGGACTGAGGTTTCCAGATGCCTCCTCTCAGACGGGAGTGGTCCTCCGATTGGATGCACAGTCTCCAGGCAGCATCTCTGTGCTGTTGTGCCCAGCTCCAGCTGTCAAGTCATCCACATCCACGTTAATCTTACTGTGTTTGAAAGGTAGCTGGTGAGAGTTTAAGGTGTACAGCATGAACTCTGAGCCCATGGTCACTGGTGTAGGCAACCCAGTCAAGGTGTCGACTTTAGACTCAACAAAGATGGGCGGATCCTGGTCACGTCCAAAAGTTGCTTGATAAGTGTTGGAGGCTGAGTCGCCTGCGCTGTGGTTGCTCCTGTTGCTGTAGCGACGGCTGCGGTAATAACGGTTACGGTAATAAGATGAGTTTCGGGAGATGGGAGGCTTAATGAGAGAAGGTCGGCCTCGAGTACGTAGCTGCCGGTGTTTTTCTATGAACACGTGCACCGCCAGGACACCCACCATCTCAGCCAGGACAAAGGACAGAGCTCCAAAATAAAAGGACCAGCCGTAGGAGTAGCTCTTCTTGTTGTCGCTCTGACTGGGGTCACCTGAGTTGGCTGATATGTACACTATGATGCCGATGATGTTACTGAGACCTGTGCATGGGGTTTGCAGAGAACAAGGTGTGAATTTAGGAGGACATGAAGAAACTGCTGAGCTAGAAGAAGACAGTCTTACAAAATAAAGACATTTGTAAAAAGAAAATGAAATTAGGTAAAAACTGAATAACCAGAGTACACAGTGTAGCTTTTACATTTTAAAGGATCTTTGCCATTTTGAAGTGTGCAAAAGTTGTAAATAAAAACTCTTTTATCAGATGCTTCTGTTCTGTTTGGATTAACAAAGTCTCCTCGCTATCCAGCCGGCTCATGGATCCCCTGAACAAATAAATGAATGAAGGTGAATGGAGGTACAAAAGTTATTTTCTAATTTGCTTTGCCTCATGCCCTGAGTTGCACATGTTGTACTTCAGTCAAAGCCGAATCACTACTTTCCCCAGCGTAGCTGCTACTTGTTTTCTCCACATTTAATGCTCCATCTTTTGTCCTGGAAGGAGGATGTGAATCCCACTCTTATGACATAAATTTGGTGACACAATCAGCTTGAGTTCTCTATGCCTTTTAACACATAACCTAAAATAAATTTAGCATCTGTTCAAAAATAAGAGCTTTGTTGGCATCAAAATGTCTCTTAAAAAATGACATTTACAGGAAAATCCACTTTTTGGAGCTTTTTACCATGTGATATTATTATTTACTCAAGAAAAAATAAATCCTACCTATTTTTGGCTGCATTTATGCATTAGCCCATTTCAGCTGCAAATTTAGCATTTTACTTTGAAAATCCTGTAAAGTCGTCATCACGCCCTGCTCCTTTCCCAGAAACTAGCCACTGGTCTGAAACCCGTCTCCCCTGGCCAGCACAGGATAGGTAGCTTAGACGACTGGTAGTCCAGTGGTTAGTGTGCCCAGGCAGACAACTGGTCTACCATAGCCCGTACAGCAACAGACGTGTAAGACACTGTTGTAGGCACATCTTGTCAAAGCAGACGTGGGCGGAGTTTCATTAATATTTCATTAATATTTCTGCCCAATGAATGGTTTCTAAATAATAATATATACATGCAATGCTGTGAGTTTTAGGTTTGCTGGGCTTAGACTAGTCTTTGGCCCATCAGTCCTAAAAGATGTGAACTCTTTTTTTTCTGAACTGAGGCTTGTCAAATAAATGATGTTTACTCAGAAATACATTTCCTTTGACTGAAAGAATAATGTGTGTGTGTGTGTGTGTGTGTGTGTGTGTGTGTGTGTGTGTGTGTGTGTCTGACCTGCAGAAACAAAGAGGATACCAGCACACAGAATGACGTTGTAGCGTGACTTGTAGAACTCGCTGGCAGCTACACATAAACCCCCAAGAAACAGCAACCCCACACTAAGGATTGGGAAGAGGCTGGAAGCCCGCACTGCTCCTGAGGTGGAAGAGCGACATTTTCATTTTCATGACATGAGAAATTTGCCTGTGACTACACTTGTCAAATCTCACAGTTAGTCTCATTTGTTACTTACGGAGTAAATACTCTGCTGCGTCCTGCTCGTAGTCTGCATCATCTGGAAAATGGTCAATGTTTTTGCAAACACCTCGAAATATTCCTGCAGGAAACCAAAAGTATCCATCTATGTTCACAGTATATATAAATAAAAATTGGTCAGAGATAAGTGTGATGTTTTCCACCTGAGGATCTGCTTTGAATTGATTATTACCAGTTTAGGAGACTTTTGAGTGTCCTAAAGTAAACTGCAGAATCTTTTCCTGGTTATCAGTCTGTGGCCAAAACATCTAAGTCCTTTACTGGCATGTTTTTATCCATAATATCTCTTTAAAATCACTTGTTTTCCTCAATCAGAGACAGAAAATATCCAAAAGCTCCACTTAAACTATTAAAGACCAAGTTCACTTGTTTTTCCAACACATTTGCAGTGATCTCTAGCATAAATTAATGCCTTTTGAGTCGATCTCTGTGGGGAAAAAAGCTGTGGCGCCCCTGTTTCAGGAAGTAGAAGTTAGCCAAAGCAAAGATGAGCTTCAGACGACATGTTTTAGAGTCTCATTTTCTTATGTTTGGACATCTTGCCTCTGACTGGCTAATAGCGACACAACTCTACCACTGACTCTGTTTGCTCTGCAACATTGATGTTTTATCTCCACAAAAAAACACAAGCTTGAAGGAGTTCTGCCATGTTGTGGAGGTGCTAATGCTAACGGTTAGCTTCTACTAATCGAGACATTCTCTCTCTCCTGGATACCAAACCAACATCAGACATCCCCATTGTGAGTCAAGATGGATGAGGTGGCTAATGCAGAAAATTGGGGTAGAAGACTAATTTGATGTTTGGCCAGCATGTTAAACTCAAAGTGAACGATTATATTTTAAAAATAGTAAATAATTACATTTTTCATAATGAACTTGGTCTGTAAGTAACCCATACACTTCTTGGCCAACAAAAGTCACTGCCAAAAAAAGGTCACACACACTAAAGCCTACTTACTGCACACTGGAAGCGTCAGCGGAGCGGAACATCACTGTTTCAAATAGAATCCATTATAATCTATGGGGGTGATTTAAATCAGCCACGACACAGACATTTTAAAGCACATCCCAGAAGCAGTGCATCGCGCTGCTAAAGATAAGTTTGGGTTCTATTTTTGCAGTCGCTTCTGGGATGTGACAATTTCCACAGTTAACACAGGGCTGGACAGGAAATCACACAGGGTTTTCAGTGTCTCAGACTGCAGGTTTACTGGTGGTTCCCAGAATATCTAAAATTAGGATGGGAGGCAGATCTTTTAATTATCAGGCTCCTCTCCTGTGGAACCAGCTCCCAGCTTTAGTCCGTGAGGCAGACACTTTGTCTACTTTTAAGAATAGGCTTAAAACATTTTCATTTGATAGGGCCTATGGTTAAAATCTGATGTTAGCCTAGATCTGGACAAGTGGGGGAGTAGAGGGAGGTGGAGTGTACAGTCAGTAAAGACGGCTCTCCCTTGCCGTGCCTCCAACATGCCTACATCTAAATAGGATAGATTATCCTGAGTTATCTCTGTAGTTATGCTGCTATAGGCTTAGACTGCTGGAGGACACACTGACCACTTTCCACACTCTACTAATTTCTTCTACAGTCTGCTCTTTAACTGTATTACTTTCTGCAATTTCAGCTGTTAACTTTATTTTCTCTCTAAGTGTTTTTCTCCCCAGAAGAAGCTACAACGATGTTCTGCTGAGCTGTGGTGGCCGCATGGAGGGGGCCAACGTCTAGCACACTGCTGCTAACCACTTAAACATTCTCCCTCTCCTGATAACTTTTTGCTTTCCTTGACATTGGACGTGCTACTACTAGTTTATCCATTTAATTAGAGATCCACTAGGATAAATACAATAAAGTTTATCTCACCAAATAGAATATTTACTAAGACATCACAATATAACTGTAGACACATTATTGTGTGTGTGTGTGTGTGTGTGTGTGTGTGTGTGTGTGTGTGTGTGTGTGTGTGTGTGTGTGTCTGCTCTGTCTTCTCGATCCCCAGTGAGTCGTGGAGGATGGCTGCTTATACTGAGCCAGGATTCTCTTGAGGTTTCTTCCTGTTAAAAGGGAGTTTTCCTCTCCACTGTCGCTTTATGCTTGCTTAGTATGAGGATTGCTGTTGATGCAATTTACTGGGTTCCTTATATAGGACACATTATTTCTGATTGGCTTAATGAACTGTGAATTGGAATGTTTATTATGTGAAGTGCCTTGAGACGACTCTTGTGATTTGGCGCTATATAAATAAACTTGATTTGAATTGAATTGAAAATCCCCAGTAATATCAAACATGATTTCCTTCTCTTTTGTTTAATGGCGGTCAGCATAAACTCGAGGGATTTTTTGATCTCATGAGTCAAGCGAGGAGCACAGTGGAGAAGCCGACTTGCGGCTGAGACTCTCGGTGTGCACTGGAGTCCAGCGATTGCCGCGAATAAACCTTTCCACTGCCGTTCCACACCGCTGATGCTTCCAGTGTGCAGTAGGGGTAATATTTTGTTGGACAGCCTTTATCTTTGATTACAGCACACATTTGCTGTGATATTGTTTTTATAAGCTTCTGCAAATCAGATTTATTTCCAGCCGGTGTTGCATTCATGTTTCACCAAGATCTTGCATTGATGATGGTAGTGTCTTACCGCTGCACAAAGCCTTCTCCAGCACACCCCAAAGATTCATTGGGTTAAGGTCTTGACTCTGTGGTGGCCAATCCATGTGTGAAAATCATGTCTCATGCTCCCTGAAACACTCTTTCACTATCTGAGCCTAGTGAATCCTGGCATTGCCTTCTTGGAATATGCCTGTGCCATCAGGGAAGATGGAATAATCTGGTCATTCAGGATATTCAGGTAGTCAGCTGACCTCATCCTTGCACATCCTGTTGCTGAACCTAGACCTGACCAACTGCAGCAACCCCATATCATAACACTGCCCCCACAGCTTGTACAGTAGGCACTAGGCATGATGGTTACCCTGATGCACCCATCTTTCTGGAACAGGGTCCATCTGGACTCATTAGACCACATGACCCTCTGAGGAAAAACTTAAAACCTTGTGTGTGTCCTGGCTCTTTATTTAACAGGATGATGCTGATGGAGACTCACACCTAAAGGCCTTTTGTCTGATGAGTGTGAACCAACACCAGATCAAAGCTCAGCTGGACTCGAGCTTCCTGCTTCTGCTCTGCTGTGCCTTTCAACACTTACACACACAGGATCAAATCGATCAGCCTGTCCCTATGAGCCACAATGATTGACCCAAATCAGTGATGGTGGGGCTTGGTAGTCATGGTTACCAAAACACCACTCATTCATTCCATAGCTACAGCTTGACTGTGTTAACAAACCAAACGAGAAATCATATTGTTGTTTTCTTGACTGTGGGACTAAATGTCATTTTTCAATACTTGATGTCTTTTGTTTCAGTGGCTGCTTCTTTTTAAAAGCATTCCAGAGTAAAACCAGTGACTTATGGTCATTTTCTGCAAAAGTAGGCAAACATAAATCCAGAAAGTGGAAGTAATGAGAGAATTTTATTGAGTAATTTTAATGGTGTGTGTGTGTGTGTGTGTGTGTGTGTGTGTGTGTGTGTGTGTGTGTGTGTGTGTGTGTGTGTGTGTGTGTGTGTGTGTGTGTGTGTCTTACCCTCAGTGCAGCAGGTCCTCCACAGACCAGAGTGGGTCAGGACCTCCTCGTTCTTGTGGACGGTCTCATTGTCATTCAGGTTCTTGGAGCGGCACACCCCACGGGAGTACAGCCAGTAGTCCGTGCCTACCGCGATCGTCATGAGGCTGAAGGCGCAGAAAGCTCCTGCCGTGGTCAGCAGCATCATCATTCCCCGATTACAAACCCTCATCCTGGCCCACCCTCCTCCCCTTCGTCCTCAGAAAAAGAGCAGTCCAGCTGAGGATGAGTCCTTGCTGGATTTAGAAAAACTCTTCTTCTCGTGTCTCCGGTCGGCTGCAGGAAGTGCAGATTTAAGGCGCATCGTTCGCTGCGCTGAGTTCAAAAAGTTGCGTAACTTGTTGCTGCGAATATCAAACTTGGCTGAAATAGTTGATAGTTTTCCATGTCAGAAAGGAGGAGCAGCTGTCCTGTCAGAAGAACAGTCAAACGAGTGGAGAAGAAGTTTGGAGAAAAAACCGTCAGCATCGTTTCTCTGAACTGGTTTAGTGCGAGTCCAGAAACTCCGCCTGCCAGTGTGTGTGTGTGTGTGTGTGTGTGTGTGCGCGCGCGCGCGCGCACGACATTCAATTTGATGACAAAGAGCAGCCTGAAGCTGTCCGTCAGTTCAGCACCATGGACAGCTGCTCAGTGAAACTGCAGTTTCATTCTTTTATCCTTCTGAGACCCAGACAAAGTGTCTTCAACTTCCTTTTTTATATGATTTCCATTCTATTTAGACTAAATAAACACCTTAACATTTTTTAAAACTTTTTTTAATTTTACTTTAACAGCATGTCCAACAGGACGACTTCCATCTAACTACAGATTGACTAAAAAGTAAAATCTTATCTAATTTGATCAACAAATAAAACTCATGTTCTTGGTCTTCTGTTGCTTGTTACTTGGAATGACGACAACTCATGGACTTAGTTAAAAAGTGAGCTGAACTAGTGAACCATAGCTCTTCATTTGTTCTTCATCTTGATAATAATCCTGAAAGTTTGTTTTCTTCAGTTCACATCATGTATGTTTTGCCACTGCAGCCCTTCTTTCTGCATGCTTGATGTCCATCATCACAGCGTGTGCCTGGCTTCTAGTGTGCACACCAATGGTATAAATACACTAAAATGGTCCTAGTGCCCACCACAATAGACATTTATAAAAGCATAAATATTTAACTGTTTTCAGAAGTAAAATATTGTTAACATTTTAATAAACAATATTATAAATGATTATTTTAGTAAAAATAGCAAAAGATAAAGATTTTTTTACTTACTTATACTCTTTCCATAAAATGTTGTTACTGGTAAGCCAGCCATATTGACTGAGGAAAGATGAGACTTGCCGGCATGTGAACGTAACAAACGATGCATCACTGGGAAGCCCAGGACGTCCTCTAAAGAGCACTGTAGGGCTAAATGGGGTAGCTCAAAAGAGTGAAAGAAGACAAAGGTGAACAAAATGTCCACTATAAAGGACACAATTGACTACGCCAGGTCTCAGGAGGCTATGGCTGTTTTATGCTACGATTACACACACAAATAAATAAATAAAGCATATTTTCCATTTACTTTTTCCATTTTTGTTCAGGTTGAAAGAGCTGGAACAGAATCATGACAACAATCTGAGTGAACTATGCTGCTTTTTTGCTGTAACTTGTCCCTAAAACACCTCCAGTTTTCTTTGGCTGAGGGTTTACATCCCAGAATGTTTGGATTTTCCTGAAGAGAAAACATCAGTTCATATTTTCTCAAACGCTGAACAGACTTCTGCATCAACCCTAAAGGACCAACTGTAACGTAACATTTGGACAATGGAAAAAATAAAATTAAGACAATTTAAAATCAGACACTTAAGAAAATAATATTTTTCATTCGATTTTCTAAATTATTATGAGGGACAAAAATTGACTGATGTGACTGTTTCATGATTCAGTTAATCTCAGTTGGATTCGGGATTATTTTGGTGCCATATGCGCTCCATCGTCAATGTCAACTACCAAAACATTTAGGAAACTGAGCTGAAATCAACAAGCAGCTTTCTGGCACAACTCAAGTTTTGGAGTTTATCCAAAATAAAATAGCTACTACAGCCAATCAGTATTGGGGACAATAGACTACAACTCAGTCACAAATAGCAAATATCAGAAGCAGTAGTAGTTGAGGAATCCCTTTGTGTGAGATTCTGCACTTTTTCCAGATGTCACCTAATTTCTATAATCCCATCATGTCTTAACCGTTTACCTGCCTGGCCAACCAACTGGTAGAGCATATCTAAAGTCCTTACATTTCACTGAAGCTTTGCCCCTCCCACTGTCCTAATGGGTGACTCCGCGAGGAAAGTTGACCACTGAGCAGGGTTGATGGTTTATCCCTTGGGTCCATGTGGCAGGGGTGAGGAGTGAGCACCACCTCACCCCTGCCACATGGACCCAAGGCATAAACCATCAACCCTGCTCAGTGGTCAACTTTCCTCGCGGGGTCACCCATTAGGACAGTGGGAGGGTTAAATGAACTTAACAGGAAGAATGTGGATTTGATTGAAAAAAAATGCATAACATTATTGCATTGCATCATTACCATTGTATCTTTACATTGATTAATTTACATTACACTAAAGACCTTATTGCTTCAAATCAAAAATGTAAAACTGGAATGTTTCATAGCTTTTTTCTTCGTCAGGAAGTTATAGGGTTAAAACAATAGGCCATTAATTAAAAAATCCATTAAAATATATAAATGACTCTTGAGTTCATACAAAACTAAGTTTGGTAGAAATGTTCTGGAGAAGGGGGAAATGTCCAGATCTAAAAAGATTAGTGGCTAGAAAGAGAAGGAAGAAAGGACCAAATCTTAAGAATAAATCACCCAAATCAGGCTACTGATATTTTGGTGTTTCTATCCATGTGGAAATCCACAGGAGGTCAAACGGCTGGTGTCCTGGAGCAGCCACAACAACCTGGTGCTACATGCACAGAAGACAGCAGAGGTTGTTGAGGACTTTAGGAAGCACACAGTGCCACTCTCTTCATAACCTTGTCTGACTCTCCCATAAAGATGGTGAACTCATGTTGCTTCCTAGACACCACCATCACCCAGAACCTCAAGTGGGAGCCCACCATCACCTCCATCATAAAAAAGGTCCAGCAGAAGATGTACTTCCTGAAGCAGCTGAAGAAATTTAACCTATCAGCACAGTTGATGAGGCAGTTCTACATCCTCACCTCTTCAATCACCGTGTGGTATGCTGGAGTTACCATCAAGGACAAGAAGAGGCTGCAGCGTGTCATGCGCTCTGCTCAGAAGGTCATTGGCTGCAAACTCTCCACCATACAAGACCTGTACACCTCCAGGACATTGAAGCGTCCAGGTTGGATCTCAGCAGACCCATCTCATCCTGGAAACTGTCTTCTCGACTCGTTCCCATCTGACAGGAGGTTCCGATCCATTCAGACCAGAACCTCTCGCCACAAAAACAGTTTCTTCCCTTCTGCGGTCGGACTCACGAATGACAATCGTGGCCCTGCTCACTCCAGCTGCTTTGTTTCAGTCACATGACCCTAGTGTTGTGTTTGCACCTGAACCCACTCTGACCAGTACCTACACTGACTTGTTGTATAAAGTAGCTGCTTCTCTAATTATTGATTCCCTGTATTATTAACATTTCATTGTGATATTTCTTAATTCTAATTTTGCTGATCATTTATTCTTTCTTGCAAGAACCACAGTACTTTCCTGACGATGTGATTCTTACACATATGGCAGTAAAACCCCTCTGATTCTGACTCATATCAAACATCAGTTAAAGTTTCTAAAGAAATCACAGATTTACAACAGCTTCATAATTATTTATTTAATGTTCAATTTGTACATGTCTCCTACTCATAGGTAAAGATGACGCATGCATCAGATGTCCTTTATTTCTTCAGGTTGTCTCGTACTCTTGACCTCCTTCCTTTTGCATAGTAAATCTCCCTCATTTCCTAATCTTTCCTAAACTATTTTACTTATTTGAAAAGTATGTATGGGTGAATGGGAGTACTGGGGGGGGGGGGGGGGGGGATTAATAAATGGAGAAAATATAAAGGTTCAAAGCGAGGGGAGGAGATGATTGGGAGGGAAATGGTTAAGGATAAAAGATGTGAAGGAAAAAATGAAAACTGGGATGGGAGTGTGTATATTTGTACAATAACATGAGAAACAATCCTAGCTCAAGAACTCATTCCAATTTACACACACAAACACAAATCATACAGAAGTTCACGTTTGACGTTGCTTTTTACAGCTTCATATTTTCTCAGCCATACAGTCTTTGTCTGGAGCTTTGAAGAGCCTGATGTGAGCAGGTCTTTCAGAAGGAACGTGGATTTTTACATTCATAACATCTCATGAGGGTTTTCCCCTCAGAGATGTTGAAAATGACTCATAAACACACTGCTGCACCAAAGAACATGCACACTGGAACTCCCCCCACAAGAACTGTATGGGCCTGGAGAGCACTAACCCACTGCACCATGGAGGAAAGAGAAGAAGTGATCTGGTAAGACACATTTTCACATACCACTGTCAAAATGGACCCAAGGTTTTATTTTTTGCATCAACTTGGAAGACAAGGCATGCTTAAGACTAAGTACAGGACTAGCTTAGACATGAGGTTATAAATCAGGACCATCATAGTTCTAAACCTTCCTTCTCTTCTAAATTGTAGCCTCCAGACGCACGTGTGTGTGTGTGTGTGTGTGTGTGTGTGTGTGTGTGTGTGTGTGTGTGTGTGTGTGTGTGTGTGTGTGAGCACATACATGACATACTGATTCTTAAATGTCCATGAAGCCATTCTCACAAAACCAAAAAGGCCCATGCATCATGACCAGTAAAAGTCAAAGTTGCACATTTATAATAGTGAAGTCTTGAGCGTTTCCTGGAAACCAGCTTGTTTTGGTGCATCCCTCTATCTGCATTTGTATGTTTAAACTTTTCTTCATTTGTTTATGGAAGTCCTGACTTATGATTGCAGCCCACTCTGGGTGTTTTTTGAGGATTGATTTAAAGAAGAGTGTATGTTTGTATGTTAGTCCTAAAGGATCTTCTGACATCCTTTAACTCTGCAGTCAGAGATGCTAGGGTTTCCTATTTCTCCAACCTGGTGTCCCATAGCAAAGAGAACCCCAAGGTGCTGTTTAACACCATCAGCAGCATCGTGTCTCCTGCCTCTCCTTCAGCCTCCATCCACTCTGTTGCAGACTGTGAGAACTTTCTGTCTTTCTTTGTGGACAAAGTCAGTAATGTTAGATCTGGCATCTCTCCTTCAGCCTTATCGCTGCCTCTCCCAACTCCAACCAGGCCAATCATCCTAGATAGCTTTGCTCCTGTTTCTTTGCCTGAGTTAACCAAGCTAGTTAACTCTATGAAGACCTCTGCATGCCCCCTCGACATCTTACCCTCATCTTTGTTTAAAAGTGCTTTTCAGTCCATCGGTCCCAGAGTGCTCTCTATAATTAATGCTTCTCTGGTTTCTGGTCAGGTCCCTGCTTACTTTAAGAATGCTGTAACCCACCCACTTTTTATAAAACCGAGTCTTGACCCCTCTCTCCATAGCAGCTTCAGACCCATCTCTAAACTTCCGTTCATCTCCAAGATCTTGGAAAAGGTTGTGGCTAAACAACTCACAGCTGCTCTTGATCAACATAACATCTATGATAGCTTCCAGTCAGGTTTTCGTAGAGCTCATTCTACTGAAACAGCTCTTCTTAGGGTCTCTAATGACCTTCTGACTCACAGTGATGCAGTGGACTGTTCTGTTCTGGTCCTGCTGGACCTGACTGCAGCCTTTGACACTGTTGACCATCACCTGCTACTGGAGAGGCTGAGAGACTGGGTAGGCCTATCAGGAACTGCTCTGGAGTGGTTCTCTTATCTGTCTGTGTTCCTTTTCTGTGGCCGTCTCCAAGTTTAGGCCCTCCACCACCTCTCTTACCCATGGTGTCCCACAAGGTTCTGTGCTGGGGCCTCTGCTCTTCCTCCTCTATCTGCTTCCTCTTCAGCACATCCTGAGCTCCTTCAAGGGAATCTCCTACCATCTTTATGCAGATGACATCCAACTGTACATCTCCTTTAAGCCTCATGAGATGTCTAAGCTGCAGCTGTTACACACCTGCTTAGACTCTATCAAAACCTGGATGGATGGGAGCTTTCTACAGCTGATTGAAGATAAGACTGAGATCCTCATCTGTGCCCCAGACAAGCTGGTTCCCAAAGTCAGAGACTCTCTTGGTCAGCTTGCTTCTCACACCAAACCTTACGGCAGGAATCTTGGCATGACCTTTGACCCAGCTCTCACCCTGGATTCTCATGTCAGTTCTCTTGTTCGCTCTTCCTTCTTCCATCTCAGGAACATTGCTAAGCTGAGTCCCATTCTGTCCCGCTCTGAACCTGAGACGGTTCTCCACACCTTCATCTCCTCACGCTTAGACTACTGTAACTCTCTTTTCACGTGTCTGAGCAGAACCTCCCTGAACCGTCTACAGGTGGTTCAGAACGCCTGTGCTCGGCTTCTGACCAAGTCCTCCAAACACACCCACATCACCCCGCTTCTCCTCCAGCTTCACTGGCTGCCAGTCAACTTCAGGGTTCATTTCAAGATCCTGGTTCTGGTCTATAGGGCCTTACATGGACAAGCACCATCTTACATTGGTGATCTTCTTAGTCCCTACACCCCCAGCAGGTCCCTGAGGTCCAGTGATCAAAGCCTACTGGTTGTGCAGCACCAGGCTAAAGACCAAAGGTGACAGATCATGTGCTGCTGTGGTCCCCAGACTCTGGAACTCTCTCCCCCTGAGCCTGAGATCAGTGGACTCAGTGGTCTCCTTCAAAAAGCAGCTGAAGACTCACCTGTTCAAGCTGGCTTTTGTATGACCTTCTTCACCACTCTCTCTTTATTCTGCTCTCCCCACCTATTCCACCTTCCTCCATATCCACTGATTTCCCTCTTTCCTGTTCACACTCTCTCTTTCTTATCAATGTTTTTTTTCACAATTGTCTATTTTTTGCTCCTTTTAAATATATTTTTAACCATTTTTCTAAATTCTTTTTAATATTTTTACATTTTTTGTTTTTGTGAAACTCCTCCTGATTTTTATCTTGAGAGGTGCCATAGAAATGATATTTTTCTTCTTCTTCTAGTGGAGAGCTTCAACTTCCAGATGTGTGATGAGATTCAGGGAGAGCTCTTGATGAGATGGAGTAGTTCATGTGTGTGTGTGTGACAGATTCATGATGTCTCCTCAGACTTGTATGATAAACTCAGGGTTGGTGTAGGAGAAGCCCTGGAACTCATTTTGATCCAGATTCATGATGAAAAGCTTGTCTGTTGGCGTCAGCTCCACTGGCATCTTTGTGAACTCCTTGTCAAAGTTCCCAACATCTCGGCGGGATTTCTGGAACAGAGAAGATGGAGAAGTAAACATGTGCTGTTGGACAGGACTAACATTTGGGAAAAGGATTACATGACAGGCATTAGGAATAATTCAGAAAAGCACATAAATGAAGGGGAAAGGAAGAAGCAAGAATTTGAAGCACAGTTAAAGACAACAATGATCATCTGGAGTTGGAAAGATCAACGTAAAGTAAAAAAATACACTAGAAATGTTTAAAATTATTAATGGCATGCATTCATGAATGTTATACAAATTCTATATTTTTGTCAATGTTTCAACAGACTTGACATGAAAATGACATGAAATGTTGAAAACTTGAGTGCTTGGATCCAACATTTTTGACCCCAGAAAAGTGTGAGCATACAGCAGGAGTGTAATTTAGTGGATCAGCATGATAAATGAACCAAGGTGCTACACAGAGCTAAATGCTCGAGCTGTTTTAGATCATTTTAACTAATGTGTTAGAAAACCTAATCATGTATGTAATAAACAGCAACTGTGTGCAGGATTCTCATCTTGCAGCTAAAGCAAATATACTTAAGAGTTTTGTTAAAACTCCCCAAGACAAATAATTCAGCTCAATCACACATTTTTCAAATTGATAATAAAGAGCCTGATCCGGTTATCCAGTCTAGAAACATTTGGATTTTGAATGTTTTTCTAACTTTATCCCTACATTGTGGTGCTAAATTTGAAATAGTTTTTAAACTACTGGAGTTTTTTTGTGTGAGGAAACTTTTTAGGATATTGCTTTAAGTTTCATCTTTAATCCACAAAAAAAAAAAAAAAAAAATGAAATAAAAGAACTGATAAAGCAAAAACTGAAGAAATATGCAAGAGAAAAATTACTTTTCTAAGGCACACATAGAAATTTTAAATGCTTCTTGGTTGCACAATAGAATGTTTAATAATTAAAAAGGTGGAAGTAGCTGTGCATCAGCTGGTTTGTCTACAGCTTGAGCAACAGGTCATTGTTGGTTTGATTTTCACTTTCAGGAACCAGATTACTGGTGCATTTCATGAAAATTTAATAAAAAATGTACTATTGTAACACTTTGTGTCATTTGTTAGATTTGAACCTTTTGACATTTTGTTACCCATTTGTAAGAAGTGTTTAAAATCATAAAACTTTTGTAACAAATTAACAATAATAATCAAGTTTTGACTTGTGGATTTAAATCTGTAATTTTCAACACTGAAATAGGTGTAACGGTGTTTTAATTATTTGTGTAAAGAACATGATGTTAAATTAAAGTTTTGAGTTTTATCCTAAAATACAACTGGCCTAATCTGTAAAAAATAAAAAGCACACTACTGATTTCAGAAGAGACTGAGCAAAAGCCACTAAACAAACGCCAAACACACACTGCCAACAAACACAGAAAAACATTTAAGAGATGGAGAAGACCCAAACGGTGTCATATGCACATAGGTCCAAGACAAACTTCCAAAGAGAAAGATAACATTTTCCAGAACACAGCAGACAAGGATCAATACCAAACCAATGTACAACCAGAGGTGAGGTGAAGCAGCGAGCCCTCTGCAATATACACCCACACCACACACAAAGTTTTTAAATTCCTACCTCCTTCTCTGCTTTCATCAAAGGGCTTCCAGCTGAAATCAGGAGCAGCTGAAAATGTTTTCACCAATTTTTCAGCTAATAGTTGGAACACAAAGCAGGTGTGGGTTATTTTTTTCTTTACAATGTATGTGTAGATAATGTAATAATGAAAATATATAATTATTCTGGTTCAATAAAGCAGTTTAACAAAATGCAACCAAAAGTCCTCCTCCTTGAACCGTCACCTTATCGTGGTGGAGGAGTTTGAGTGCCCTAATGATCCTAGGAGCTATGTTGTCTGGGGCACTTTGTGCCCCCTGGTAGGGTCTCCCATGACAAATTGGTCTTAGGTGAAGGGTGAGACAAAGAACGGTTCACAGGATCTTTCATGGATGTAAATTCAAAGAGTCACAGTACCCGGCCCGGAGGGTTACCGGGGTCCCACCCTGGAGTCAGGCCTGGGGTTGGGGCCCGTGAGCGACCGTCTGGTGGCCGGGCTTTCACCCATGGGGCCCAGCCCGAACCGGATACATGGGCTCATCCAACTGTGGACCCACCACCCGCAGGAGGAACATGAAGGGTCCGGTGCAATGTGGATCGGGTGGCAGACCAAGGCGGGAGCCTTGGCGGTCCGATCCCCGGACAAGAAAACTGGTTTTTGGGACATGGAACGTCGCCTCTCTGGCGGGGAAGGAGCAGGAGCTTGTGGCAGAGGTTGAGCGGTACCGGCTAGATATAGTTGGACTCACCTCGACACATAGCATTGGCTCTGGAACCCAAGTCCTTGAGAGGGGTTGGACACTCTCCTTTGCTGGAGTTGCTCCGGGTGAGAGGTGGAGGGCTGGGGCTGGCTTTTTGTTAGCCCCAAGACTCTCTGCCTGTGTGTTTGGGTTTACCCCAGGGGACGAGAGGGTAGCTTCCCTGCGCCTTCGGGTCGGGGAACGGGTCCTAACTGTTGTTTGTGCTTATGGGCCAAATATCAGTTTGGAGTACCCACCCTTTTTTGAGTCCCTGGGATGAGTGCTAGATAGTGTTCCATCAGGGGACTCCATTGTCCTGCTGGGGGACTTCAATGCTCACGTGGGCAATGACAGCTTGACCTGGAGGGGTGTGATTGGGAGGAACGGCCCGCCTGATCTGAATTCTAGTGGTGTTTCGTTATTGGACTTCTGTGCAAGCCGCAGTTTGGCCATAACGAACACCATGTTCGAACATAAGGATGCCCTTCGGTACACTTGGTAACAGGGCAGCCTAGGTCGCAGGTCGATGATAGACTTTGTAGTCGTATCATCTGACCTGCGGCCGTATGTTTTGGACACCCGAGTGAAGAGAGGAGTGGAGCTGTCAACTGATCACCACCTGGTGGTGAGTTGGATCAGATGGCGGGGAAGATGCCGCGTAGACCTGGCAGACCCAAACGCATAGTGAGGGTCTGCTGGGAACGCCTGGCAGAAGAACTTGTTAAGACGGTCTTCAACTCCCACCTCCAGCAGAGCTTTGACCACGTCCCGAGAGCAGTGGGGGACATTGACTCCGAGTTGGCCTTGTTCCACTCTGCGATTGTTGAGGTGGCTGTTGCTAGCTGTGGTCGCAAGGTGGCCGGTGCCAGTTGTGGTGGCATCCCCCGTACTCGCTGGTGGACACCAGAGGTTCGGGGAGCCGTCAGGCTGAAGAAGGAGGCCTACAGGGCGTGGCTGGTCTGTGGGTCTCTGGAGGCAGCAGACAGGTACCGGATAGCCATGCGGGGTGCAGCAGTGGCAGTTGCTGAGGCAAAATCTCGAGCATGGGAGGAGTTTGGTGAGGCCATGGAGAAAGACTATCGATCGGCTCCAAAGAGGTTCTGGCAAACTGTCCGGCGCCTCAGGAGAGGAAGGCAGCAACTCGCTCACACTGTTTACAGTGGGGATGGGGAGCTGCTGATGTCAACTGGGGCAATAGTCGGACGGTGGAAGAAATACTTTGAGGAGCTCCTCAGTCCCACCTACGCGCATTCTGAGGAGGAACCAGAGCCGGGAGACCTGGGGATGGACTGTCCAATTTCGGGGGCAGAAGTTGCTGAGGTAGTCAAACAACTACACAGCGGCGGAGCCCCGGGGGTGGATGAGGTCCGTCCTGGGTATCTCAAGGCTATGGATGTTGTAGGGCTGTCATGGTTGACACGTCTCTGCAACATTGCATGGCCATCGTGGGCAGTTCCTGTGGAGTGGCAGACCGGGGTGGTGGTCCCCATCTTTAAGAAGGGTGACCTGAGGGTGTGTTCCAACTATAGGGGGATCACACTCCTCAGCGTCCCTGGAAAGGTCTACTCCAAGGTACTGGAGAGGAGGGTCCGATCGATAGTTGAATCTCAGATTGAGGAGGAGCAATGTGGTTTTCGTCCTGGCCGTGGAACTGTGGACCAGCTCTATACCCTTGCAAGGGTGATGGAGGGGGCATGGGAGTTTGCCCCACCAATCCACATGTGTTTTGTGGATTTGGAGAAGGCTTATGACCGTGTCCCCAGGGGCACCCTGTGGGGGATGCTCAAGGAGTATGGTGTGGGTGGCTTTCTGTTAAGGGCCATTCAGTCCCTTTACCAGAGGAGCGTGAGTTTGGTCCGCATAGCCGGTAGTAAGTCGGACCTGATCCCGGTGAGGGTTGAACTACGCCAGGGTTGCCCTTTGTCACCGGTTCTGTTCATTACCTTTATGGACAGAATTTCTAGGCGCAGCCATGGTGTGGAGTGTGTCGAGTTTGGTGGCAGGAGAATCTCGTCTCTGCTTTTTGCGGATGATGTGGTCCTCCTAGCTTCATCCAGCTCCAACCTTCAGCTCTTGCTGGGTAGGTTTGCGGCCGAGTGTGAAGCGGCTGGGATGAGGATCAGCACCTCCAAACCTGAGACCATGGTTCTCGACCGGAAAAGGGTGGCTTGCCAACTCCGGGTCGGGGGAGAGGTCCTACCTCAAGTGGAGGAGTTTAAGTATCTCGGGGTCTTGTTCCCGAGTGAGGGTAGGAGGGATCGGGAGATTGACAGGCGGATTGGTTCAGAGTCTGCAGTGATGCGGACGGTGAGCCGATCTGTCGTGGTGATGAGGGAGCTGAGCCAGAAAGCCAGGCTCTCGATTTACCGGTCGATCTACGTCCCAATCCTCACCTATGGTCATGAGCTTTGGGTAATGATCGAAAGAACGAGATCGCGGATACAAGCGGCCGAAATGAGTTTCCTCCGTAGGGTGGCCGGGCTCAGCCTTAGAGATAGGGTGAGGAACTCTCGGGAGGGACTCGGAGTAGAGCCACTGCTCCTCCAGATCGAAAGGAGCCAGTTGAGGTGGTTTGGGCATCTGGTCAGGATGCCTCCTGGACGCCTCCCCGGGGAGGTGTTTCGGGCATGTCCTGCCGGCAGGAGGCCCCCGGGTCGACCCAGGACACGGTGGAGAGGTTACATCTCCAATCTGGTCCGGGAACGCCTTGGGGTCCTGCCGGAGGAGCTGGTGGAGGTGACCGGGGAGAGGACAGTCTGGAGCTCCCTAGTTGGGATGCTGCCCCCGCGACCCGGATAAGCGGAGGAAGACGACGACAACGCAACCAACAGTCCTGAAAAGGTTAAATTATTTTCGGATATGTGGCAATGATTTATTTTTGCATTTTGATTTCTAGCAGGTTGTGTCATTATCTGTTTTATTTATTCTTTTTTTTCCTTTGGTTGTCATTTTTACTTGTTTGATAGCATCAAAAAATTAAGACGATAAAATAAATACTAAAGGGAAGATTAAGGAGATAAATAATAAACTAAATGAAAAAATATTTTTATAACTTTAATAAATAAATGAATAGTGTTCATTGATGGAGTATTTCATGCCAGGCTAAATCTTTATCTAACTTAACATGATGTGTGATCCCATCTATTGTCAGTGTGTGTTGTCATTTATATCCAGCTCCTCTGACACCAAACTTTAGCATTTTGCTAATGTTTGCTAATAGTAGCTTCTGGCAGGAACCTTTAATGTGATTTACTCCAGACATTAATGAGCTGTAGATGTTGGTCTAATTAAAACTTACTGAATGTTTCATTACAAATTGCCCACGAGATATTTTAACACACATACAGACAAAAACATAAACTGAAACATGATAAAATAGCATAATGACATTTAAATGACCACAGCTTAAGATTTACATACAAATATCACTTTAGGTCATATTAAGTAATAAAATGATAATCTGAAATGCTGCTTTTTATTATTTTGCTGCATTTGTTGGCACATGTATTCCCAAAAATGACAGCTTCAGACATCATTATATGAAAACAGCATATTGGATTTTCTAAGAACTTCTGATCGAAATGAGCAAACTGATGGTTGAGGTGTTGTGGCAACAGTAAGAAAGCAGACACAGCAGAAGTAGTCTGGCAGGCACCAGTAGGTATATTATCAGTTTCCAGTCATACAGAGCGTTTACACAATCCACAGTAACATCTCTTCCATCCAGGGACATCATATCCAAACATTTATGATATAGAAACCATCCCATATTATAATTATTCTCCGTTGTATCTCAAAAATGTATTTATCATAGTTACCATCATCACAATATGTTCTCACTGGTTTAACTCGGTAGAATCTTTGCATCTGTACCGTTCCCTTCCTGCCACCAGGGTTCATGATACAAGCTCAAAGAACAAGATTTGACACAGTTACCACCTTGCATCATGAACACAGTTACAAAAGTATAATACAACTCAGACAAATCTTTTACATATGAAAACCACGTTCCAAGCGTGTTATTATATTTTTCGGGAACAGACAGGGTCGGCTAAAATGATAATCAAACAGCAAAATGGCACAAGGTAGCTGCCCCTCACCACGGTTATTAAGAGCAGTGTTTTTCTACATCTGTGTGATGCTGAGCTGTGATTTGGCACTTCTGGAAATCCCTTCTCCTGTAGAATACTGGACTCACAGGACTGTAAATGATCAGGAAAAGTGCTCGAGGGTGGATGTTTACAAGCAAATAGATATGCTCTCTGTTCATGAAAACAGAGGAAAATGGAATGTGTGTTCTGGGAAAAATAAAACAAAACAATTTACAGTAAGGCGGGGGGGTGGGGGGTGGGGGGAAGATAAAAATCACTATCCTGATCCAGATTTTTAAATCTAGCTGATTTCACGTGAGAGGATCATAAACCAGCAAAACAAGAATGCAGGTACATTCACTACAACACTGAACAGAAGGTGTGTAAGTGTCCGATACTGCAGACAAAAGTAAAGCCAACACTGGGAAACCGATTAGCACTTAAACAATAATAGCAAAGCAAATGGGTCAGTTTTCACTTACACTGTATGCATTTACCAGCATGTGATTCATAATACACTCATCCACATCACTGATGGGTCGCCATAGTAAATATGCATGTACAGGAAGGGCGACACAGAGACGTTCACGTCGCACCGTGGCATCCACCTGCTGATGTAAGCAGCCAGGAAGCATTCAGACGCAGTGAATTACAACTCCACTAGGAGACGGAAACTCAGCCAGGACAGCTGATCAAACAGCCGATTCTTTACCCCACGATTATCTGATTTTCTGCATTTCCATCTGATCGTTTTTTGAATCAAAATAAATTATTTGTTTTCTTTCCAAAGGTCAGAAGAGTCTCTCTCTCTCTCCTCTTAGGAGTGATGGAGATGTTCTGCATGGAAACTAGAGCCGGGGCGACAAGGCTGGTAGAACTAAAGAGGGCTGATTACTTGAATCCTTTACAAAATTACATTACAAAATGAACATTAAACATAAAAATTTAAGGAAAAATATGACTGACTTCCAGCTTTATCTGGATCCATTTGACAAAAAGTAACTGAATAAAGTGACTTTAAACTGGATTCACTTCCTAAAGCTCTAAAAACAGCTAAATCAACAAAAATGGCTACTACACACGAGTTTAACTTGTGTATTTTATTACTACGAAGCATTTCTCTTTTTTTGTCATGTCCAAGCACCAACAATTTTTTTCTTTAAAACTCTTACACCTATTTTTCAGAGAATATTTTCTATTTGCAAATTGGTGCAGTGTTGTGTTCTGCTCAGTAGTGCAATGCGTGGATTTTGGAAGTTATGTTAAATATTTTCCTCAAATCCTTTTGAATTCACATAGAACTCATTTCATTGGTTCACTTAACTTGAATGACACCTTTAGCGATAACCATGAAAGGCTAGGAAAAGACAGAAAATTTGTGATTAATATTTCCCAGATCACTTGTTTCATTTTAACAATTTGTGCAGAAATCCACACATTTCAGCCTGCAGGAGAGTGGAGTCCAAACATTATTCGACAGCGAGCAGATTCATTTTCTCACCAACATCTGATTGTTGTTACAACTCTGGCACATATTTAGAAAGAAAACAAGTAAGTTAATTTCCCAAAATTTGCACTTATATATTTTAATTCTTTCAGACCTGAAACATGGAAAATGCCCCAGTGCTGCAGCAGGTCTCAATGGATTAAAGTCCCAGCTAGCTGAATGCAGCCTGGATATGACATCATGATATATTTGTTTTGTTTTGATCCATAAGGTATGCTTGTGAAGTGTGTAGGTGGTTGCTAAGGCAGCCCAGGGATGTGTCTCGTGGTCAGTGGGTTGGATGAATGTACACAGGGTTAACAAATGAGAAGCCATTGAACTCATCCTGGTCCAGGTTGGCTATAAGCTCCTGATCTGGGGGGGTCAGCTCTGGGGGGTGGCGTGTGAAAAAGCGATCAAAGTTCTCTGCCTCACGCCCACACTGCCATGGAGAGGAGAGAGATGGGAGGAATGGAGTGAGTTTGATGACAGGTGAAAGTAAAAAAAATAAATAAAATGAACAAAAAGGACAAGAAGAAGAGAAAAAAGAGAAATACAACTAAAACATGGTGTCAACCAATCAAATCACTCACAGCTAAAAACTGTGGAATAATTTCATTGGTCAAAATGGAAGCAGTGACATCACAGTTTCATCATTGGTGACAATGCTGACGAGTTTGTCAGAGTGGTGACCAATGGGTAAGGGGATGGTTGTGTTCTAGTGATGAGTGACCTCAGCGTTTCTATCACTTACCTGCAGGATTTCTTCTACAACTGGTGTGTGTGCATGAACTATGTGTGTGTGTGTGATTGGGTACGTGAATGTGTGTGCATGTATGTGTGAGCGCGCGTCCATTTGTGTGTGTGAGTGCGTGCGTGCGTGTGTGTGTGTGTGTGCATTTACTACTCACAGCTTTCGGTTTAAAAGGCGGCTGGACTTCTTTGTTCTCTAGCTTTTCCCAGTCGATGTAGCGGAAGAAGGCATGCTCCTTGATGTCTCGTTCCCCCTCTGGACCACATCCCAGACGCTTACCTGGGTGTTTGGTCATGAGCTGTAAAAAAACAAACACACACTGTAAAAAAACACACACACACACACACACACACACACACACACACACACACACACACACACACATACACACACACACACACACACACGCACACACGCACACACACACACACACACACACACACACACACAGAGGAGTTCACACATGCTTGTTTATATTTTGAAGTCACCATCTGTTTAAACCCATCTGAAGTGCGTGCTCATGCCGAAGGTGTTTTAACTCCAGCCTGTCAGTTATCCAGGTTCAGGGTTTAAATGCACAAATATTTATGCAAGACAGATGAAGGTACCCAGTAACAGCAGAATTTTCCAGAACCACTTAATGATCACACCTATTTAGGTGCTCACTGATGCATCCAACAGGTGCTTTGTGGCTCCATCCCACTTTCATATTAAAACCTAAAAGCACAACAGTTACCTGAAACTCCTAACCTGGCAAGCCAGACTAAATAAATGTATTATTTAGTCTGGCCATGCTCCATTGACGGCTCTCGGTTGTGGGGCGGGTTCTACCGTTGTCTTTCAAATGATCTCCGCATTCCACTGGACAATGAATGTGACATACTCTTGTTTCACTCTGTTGCATCATCCCACCCTCCAGGCATATAGAGTGCCCTGATTGGTCCACAAAGCAGATAAAGCTCTGTGATTTGTTCACTAAGCAGATAGAGCACTATGATTGGCCCACCATTATGGACCATTCACAGCTCTTTATGTGTTTGAAACCCCTCTAGAGAGCTGTGATTGGCTAGCCAGAGTCCTGGTAGGAGCTGCTGAGGTTCCAATGGAGCATGCCTAGACCAAACTTTGCAAAGCAAGAATTTGGTCTAGTTCACTAGGCTATGAAACTCCCACTAGAGACCACAGAAATACCCTTAGACTACAGCACTGTGAAAACATACAAAATAACATACTTTTCTTAATATTTAGCTTCCAAGCAGCCAGAATTTCCTGTAATCTTTTCAAGTAGTTATGGACAGTATTTCCTAAGAAAAGTGTTCTAAGAATCAGCTTGTTGGCGCCGTTGTTGTGTCAATCTTTGATGTTGTGACAAAGTGACCGGAGCCAGTCATCCTTTATACACACGAACAATTCATAGCTCAAAGCTAAACAGCTTAACATATAAAACATTCAAACACACAAATGGCTGGTGTTTGTTTTGTCAATATTCTCTTGTTTAAATGTCTTATTGGCCATTTTCCTGTTTCAACCAGAAACAGTTGGGGGTCACAAGCCTCTCCTGTAGTGATTTCATGAGTTGGATGCTAAAAAGTCTGAATTAATTCTAGATTAAAACCAATTTAAGTCCAGTTGCTATGTTAAGTAGCCACGTTTAACCAGTTAGGACCATTAACCCAACTGGAAGACCGTAGACTGAAGTGTGTGTCCTCACCCCCTTGCAGATAGCAACAGCTTCTTTAGACATGGACTTGGGGTAGGAGACATGATGCTCCATGATGGACTGGAACAACTCATCTTCATCCTCACCATCAAAAGGCGGCTGCAGAGGCACAAACACACTTTATCACCTTCAGTTTTTCAAGGATCAGGTTTATACTATGAATGCAAACAAACCTGTCCAGCAAGCATTTCATAAAGCAGCACTCCAAAGGCCCACCAGTCTACGGACTTCCCATAAGGCTGGTACGCTATGATCTATGAGGATTTAAAAAAACAAGCCTCAGACAGATTTCAAAACAAATCTTCAAAAAAATAAAAAATAAAAATCAACTCTGGAAAACAGAAACTCACCTCTGGAGCGATGTAGTCTGGAGTTCCACAGAACGTCTTTGTCGTAACGCCGTCGAGCATGTTCTCTTTGCACATGCCAAAGTCTGCGATCTTTATGTGTCCCTCAGAGTCCAACATCACGTTATCCAGCTTCAAATCTCTGCGCGCGCACGCACGCACGCGCACACGCACACACACACACACACACACACACACACACACACACACACACACACACACACACACACACAAATTCCATCTGTGCACTGAAATGATAAGAAGCTGCTCATGGAGACAACAGAGCTTAACTCACCGATACACAATGCCTTTGGAGTGAAGGAAGAAGAGCCCAATAGCTATCTCTGCAGCGTAGAACCTGAAGCACAAGCAAAGGTTGTCGTGTGCCTTTAGGCTCAGTGGGAGATCAGAACTTTAACATTTCTGTTTGATTTTCCATTTTGTCCAAACTGTTGGATTCTGGTTTACAAATCAGAACCATGGTGGCTTTTGTGTGCATAAAAACAAACGTGATGGACTGAAGAAGTATTCTGCGTATTCTGTGGTCTCTTTCAGTGTTTGTTTACACAGGAAAAGCAAAGATTCATTACTTTAATCTTATTTTGAGACAAAATTATGAGAGCATGCACATCTTATTATTCCAAAAGAATCAAAAGAAATGACCAGTTTCTAATTAGATGTAGACTGATATCAGTTTTTCTATTGCAGGTGCTGATGCTAATATGTAGAGTTCTTGGCCAGCCGCTGGCCAATATGTGCTGCTGATCATCAAAGCCGATATCCAGTCGTTTTCCACCTTATTTGCATACTAAAGCATCACTAATAGCATCAGGTCATGTACAAAATTCCAGAAGCTGAACCAGTTTTTGAACCCTGAATTGTCAAATTCTAAGTTTGTGCAGGGCTCAGTGTTAAAATCAGATGTCCAACTAGAGTTAATGAACTGATCAGCTTTTAAAAATGTAAACACAAAAATATTTTTGATGAAAACTTTTAGAGAATTTATTACACAGATGTTATTCATAAATATGTTTACATTAAATTCTGCAGCAGCACCAGGCAGCTGGAGGATGCACCTGACTTTAAATGATCTTTACTAAGGAGGATATCGGCTGGTGCCGATATAAAGAAAATAGTAAACACTGACCTGATATATCGACCAATATATCAGTGACCGATATATCGATCTACCCCTATATAATGACTGGAAGACAAAGACTTGTGAACAAACTGTTTAAAGAAAACTTGTTATTATGAAGACGAATCTGAAATTTACATGAAATAAGTGCCTAACTTTCTCATTGGATTAAATACGTTTGAGCTCTAAAACATCAGATGTGAATGTTAAGTTAAGAAAACTCCATCTTGGAAAAACAAAAGGTTGCATAAATGAATACATTTTCCATTGGAATTGCACCAATTTGATACAGAAAAAAACTTTGCATGTGTCAAAATTAAAGATGTCCAATATTGTCGCCTAATATTGGCTTTAAAATTAAATATCGGAACTTATCAGCTAGTTCTCCTCTCACTCAGAATGTCAAAGTACACTCGATCTGAGGTACAGGTTTGTAAATACTTATGTGTGTTTAGCACAGTTGGCCTAACTTATAGTGAAATAATTGTCATAATATGCAATTAATGTATAAAGTTTAAGTATGCTAGGAGATATTTGATGTTAGTTACCTAAAATGATTTAGTTTTCTTTATACTTTATAAGAAGTGGACCCACTTATTAGGAGTTGGTCTATATCAGATTCCTGTACAAAAACATCCCTATTCAAATAGGAAAATAAAGAATATTTGCACTATTTTCATGCAGCATTTTTGCTGCACTTCATTCAAAAAGTGGCCTTAAAGATTTCTCAGTTTGTACTCAAATTACCCTCATTTTATCACGTGTTTTTGTCTTGATTCTCCTTTCTCATCTTTAATCAGTCCCAATCATAGGCGTCATTTTAACCGGGGACACCGGGGACATGTCCCCGGCAAAATTTGTGATTGGCAGCTGTGTCCCCCCCACTTTCAAAAAAGCCTGCTGATGAGGATTTTTGTTTTACCAGCTCAGATCTTATACCAGGGATCGGCAACCTGTTCCCATCAAAGAGCCATTATTACCCGTTTCCCACAGTAATGAAAACACTGGGAGCCACAGCAGCGCAGCGTTGTGGGCGGGGCCTACCCTCAGACAGCAGAGAGCTGCTCACAACCAGGTGACAGCAGCCGGTACCGGTCGCTCGCATGGGCGTCACACCCGTGGGGGATTCAACACCCACACTTTTCCAGCTGTTTTGCTCACCTCCACACCAGTCTGGTTTCTTTTCGTTGCACTCACTCTGTTTGCCTCATCTCCTTCTTCACCTCCACTTCTGACAACCGATGTCGGGTTTCCAGGAGAGCAGGAGAGGGAGGGACGGAAGAGCTCGACTGAATTCATAATTTTACATCTTGACATTAGCTGTACAAAGTCTGAGTTTGATCAAGTGAAGAACAATAATTTGCAGAGGTTTATAACAGGCGCAGCGCCAGGTTATCATTTTTGGGTGGGCCACGGTAATTTTGGACGGACCTTAATAAGCAGTGACTTAAGTGAAGCAGGCAGGTCACGCTAGAAAATTTCGTTTAAAAAGACGTCATAAATGTTTTCCCCCGTCATTTTTATTTATAAAATATGAAGTAAAAACTCACAATTTAATTTTCATTCATTTGTCATTAATATGTAGTCTACACCCGTGCGTTAAGTGGACCATCTTCCAGTAAAAGAAAAGCATCCAGCCCACCTCTCCAAATGCGTAAAATGTGCATCACAGCCACTAGGCTCACCACGCGCACCATCAGCTGTCAGCCCAGACAAGAGCAGAGCAACTAGAGACAGAATAGAGGATAATTGTGTCTGGATGTGGATGGAGATTACATTTTACAGCAGCCTGATCATCATTTAAATACGTAAACCTCACCTGTCTTCTAGTCCACGCTATCAGCATTATGTTAATTGGTGTGTGTGTGTGTGTTTTCCACTTCAAACACTGGTCTAACCAACCAGACCAGCGTGTCCAGTAACATATTAATGTTACAATTAAACAGTTTCACTTCATGTAGGCTAGGAACATTTCACCTGCCGTAGCCCGACCGCTTCTGCTCCACATAAACTTTGTGCGTGACCAAATGTCTCTACAGGTGCTTTCTGAGCTGAAGAGGCGACTGGATGCGTCATGCGTCTCCATATTGGAGACGGGAACAAGCGCTATTCAGCCAAACTTTCATAATTTCATAAAAATAACATTTTTCCAAGTGACACATCCCTCAGAGAGACCGGGTTTCCAGACCGCTTCAGTGGGAGGAAATCAACCAACATCCTTGAGTTTATCCGTCAAAATAAACAGTCAAATGGAAATATCTGTAACCTGCCATTTAACTGTTTTGCCTTCTTGTGAAGATTGTTGGAAAGAGAAACAATTAAACTTGATTAACCCCAGAGCCACGCACACTGCGCTGTAGTCCGTGACTGTAAATGAGGGGGAAACGATTTAATCGGATCCTTTTCTTTTCAACATGGTTTAATGTAGTTCCATTCAGTACAAACTTTAGTTACACCAATCTAACGAGACAGAGCCTGGATTTGTATTCTGAACAGTTTAAACATGTTTAAAACGGAGACATGCGTGACGCGTCTAAAATTCGCACCTGCTCCGCTATTATGGAAATTAAACTAACAGGATGAATAACATGAAATTATTTTAGGCACAGACAACATCTCCCACACTTTTGAAAAGCTTGCAACGCGCCTGGTCGCTCGTGTACGTCAAAGTTATCTTTCATAAAAAGATAATCAATAAAACGATTAAATAAAGTGGATCCAGAAGCTGTAGCCCGTCTCTGCCTTCAATATTCACCCTGTTGGTGGTTTTACTGAGCAGGTGCCACTTTTGTCATACGTTTCTTTTTAAAACATGTTTCGGCTGTTCAGAATACAAATCCAGGCTCTGTCACGTTTGATTGTTGTAATTAAACTTTGTAGGTGGGGAAGGTCAGAAAGCAGCTCAGAAGCGCATGATTACGCACAAGCGTGACGCGTTAACCCGGTCTCACAGTAAGACCGGGTTGGACCTGTTCAGGTTTACGCAGACAATCTTTACATTTAGAATTGGCATACAGATGTAAAATTAATGCAGTAAAATATAAAGCATTTTATTTAAATATCTATTCATTATTTTACAAGCACAGAGAGCCGCATGTGGCTCCAGAGCTGCGGGTTGCCGACCCCTGTGCTAGCCTACTTTATTGTCCCCAGCAATTTTTAAGCCCCACTCAAGTGTATGGCTATTGTCCCCAGCAATTCTGAAAACAAACTGACGCCCTTGGTCCCAATATTGTTTTTTCAGTCGCTGCTCAATTTGCCCGACTTACGTACACATAACACATCACATACCCAGGACAGCTATGTGACTGTTATGAGACTAATCGTGTCTAACAGTGAGGTCCTGTGACCTGAAAATCTTTTCTAGACATGTTAGAGACTCCCTCGCAACTAAGATTTGCAATTTGCTACCAACGGTTACAGCTGAGTGAGATACCAGCCACTGTTTCTTAAATGAGCAGATCAGATTCCACAGTGTGTGTTGTGTGTGTGTACTCACACAGCATGAGGCTCTTTAAACTTTCCCACCTGTTGGATTTGGTACATTAGATCTCCCCCATTAATATACTCCATGACAAAATATAACCGGTCCTGCAGGCAGTAAATGAGAGAAAGAACAAGAAAAGCAAGAAAAACAACACCTTAGGTTGAGTTTATTCTTCTATCTGGGCAGAAAAATGCTTTACAGGTGACCTTCAGATTACTGGACAACCTGCTCTAACTCCTGAGCTTCTGCTGTCCCCTAACAAAAGTGAAGCCAGATCTCTGCAGGTGACCCACCATGGTTTGGAAACACGAGTGCAGCTGAGTGAGGAAAGGAGGTTTCCCAGACAGAGCCAGAACTCTCTTCTCCACCATGGTGCACTCCACATCATCATCTTGGATCACCACGTCTTTCTTCAGGATTTTAACGGCGTATAACTCATCTGTGCCTTTCCTCTCTGCCAGCATTACCTGGAAAAAAGGAGGGAATTAATGAGCCTCAGAAGATTCCTCTGTTTTCCAGCCACCAGCTCCCATCTCACACCAAACAAGCCTCACTTTGCCGAAGCTGCCTTTGCCCAGGACCATGACGAAGTTGAAGTCCGTGAGCTTGACGCGGTCCTGATTGCCATTACTGTCGTATTTGCATACTGAAGAGGAAGAGCTGTCAGTGGGCTTCCCAGGCCCCACTTTCGCTCTCTGGAGGATCAAATAATCACAGAAAACATAATCAGGTAAAAAGATAAACAAATAAAAAGCTGGACCAAATTAAGCATCCTGGTTTCTTACCTCTAACTTTTGTCTAAATGCCTCGTTGCCGTCCTCTCCGTCTGGCTGAACAGGAACATTAAAATATTCTCCTTCCTCCTGAGACAGCAGCTTATACCTGTGGGAAAACAGGGCAAGGTCAGATCAGCTCCAGAGTTGCCTTAAAGATGGGACAATATTCCCACACCACAGACACCCCACCATCCGTCTACTCCTAGTTTCAGCAGCTCCGAGATCCCAAAGGACAGCGATCCCATGAAGTCGTTCCTGCTGGTCAAATCCCAGTCCCACACCTCCACCGAGAGACGGCGGTCTTTATCGCTTTCTTTAAGGTTACTAAAACAAAACGAAAACACGAGCCAAGTGTTAAGCATCAGACGTCTCAAATAGGTAAAATATTAGAACAGAATTTTTGTTTATTTTAAACTAGTAAACACGAAAACAAACAGAGGTTTTTACTCCTGCGAGGGTGCGGTAACCCAGAAAAGCTTGAATAACAATGAGCACAGGCGCTGGAAAGAATGAGGACAGGTCAACTTTCAGGAGTTACATTTATGCTCGTGTGACTGAAAATGAGGCCAAAGTAACTGTAGAGAAAGATGGTTTTGTCAATAATGCCAGAAAATGGGAGCTAAAACTCATCTGACGTTAAGTCACAGAATGAGAGATGTCTCACAAAGTGAAGGTTTCGTTCCAGGTGGGGTTCAGGCAGCACTTAATGGTCTTCGTCTTCTGCTTGCTCTCGCTCTTGGGGTCTGGGATCAGCTTGAGCTTAACGTAGGGGTCTGACAGGCCGTTTGGGTCCATGGGCACCAGGTTCCTAGCCTCTTTGACTGTGAAGGGTTGAAGACAAATAAATTACGAGCTAGAAAGAAAAAGATCCCCTGATAAAACACATCATTGTTTCATCATTTTTTCCTGCTCTAAACAACTCTGGATTTCACAACACTTAACAGCAGTTTAGTTTCTGTTCCAGAATCAATTCACAGCCGCGTTGGCACGTGGGTGCCCATCCCAGTGGAGATGTGGGTCAATCGTTGGATCATTGAACGACTTAATGGACCTTCCAGCTTTGGCCATAGGGCTGATAGGCCGCTTTGCTCAGAGTCAGATCAAATCGAGGGCTGGAGAGAGAGGACTCACTGGTGACGGTGAGCGTGTCGTCAGTGATCTTGGCTGAGATCTGGATGCGTCCTCGCCTTTCTGTGTGATCCGTTCCACACAGACTTGGGACATTGGCAACACATCGCTTATGGATGTTCATCATACAGTCTGAGTGCAGCAAGACAAAAAAATACACATGTTAGGATTTAAACATGCTCCAAACAGTAAAAGTCATTTAGAAAAGACATCTTTTTTCTTGAGAAAAGGTTTTGGTTACGTTCTAAATGGTGAGCACGCGGGTCTTTTAAACCTAGCTGAAGCTTTCGATTCAATTAGGCGCCACATGTCTTCGTGTTTATTGGATCAGAGCACAGGACAGGATACAAGGTTCACCCGTTTTTCCAGCACAGAGGCCAAACCATGTTAATCCTCTTCCTCCTCACTGGCTTCATTTCATGCTGCTTTTCTATTAATCCTGTCATTTTCCTGATCCCATGATTACTTAGGTAATTTTTTCACATTTTTTATTATACTTTTTGTGTTTCACTCCATTTATATAATTTATAATATTTTTAAAAATAATTTTAGTTTGTTTTTGCGAAGTTCCTCATGATTTTTTCTCTTGAGAGGCACTATATTAAAGATTGTTTCTTCTTTGTCCTCTTCTAAATGAATGCCTTGTGAGTCTATCTCGGGGAAAAAGCTCTGGCGCTCCTGTTTCAGGAAGTAGAAGTTAGCAAGTGGAGTGGCGAGCAGAACACGGGTCTTAGTTCCTGATATTCGGACATCTCACCTCTGATTGGCTAATGGCAACCCGACTCTACCACTGATTCCATTTGCTTTGCAGTGTTGATGTTTTATCCCCAAATAAAACAACCCTGGTGGAGTTTTGCTGTGTTGTGGAGTTGCTAATGCTAATGATTAGCTCCTACTAGCACCGACATGCTCTGCTGTTTCCTGGACGCTAAATCAACAACAGCCTACACTGACCCTCCAGCACCAGAGTTGAGAACCACGGGGATAGTTCCTTACATTTAAAGAGCGGGTCAATTGAGCCTCGGAGTCCTTCTCTACCCACGTATCAATTTTAAAAAATGCAACATTAGTAGGCGTTGCCTGGAGGACCGAGAGGGCGGAGCCGCGGCAGTGACGAAGACGACGGCTAACTAGACGATGCTAGCTCCCTTCACTCTATGCAGTTATTAGAAGTGGAGGATGTTTCTCCCCCTCCTTACCCAGACACTCGAGAAGAAAGGGACCAAGTCTATTTGGAGGAGACAAGCGGACCTGAGCCTTATTGTTGTGAGCTTGTGAGTTGCCTGAAACTCCCAGAACCGACCCAACAGAATCACCTCTGAACGTAAGTAGCCGTTAGCCATAGCATTGGATTAGCTGCAGGGTTTGTCTCCACGGCCCTGGAGAGCTAGTATTCAGCATGTTTTAGAGGTTTATCTGCTTCAGCACACCTGGTTTTAATCAGCAACAAATAGCTGAGCTGCTTAACAGCTAATCTAACCTGTTAAAGCAGGAAAATCCACTGAAACGTGCTGGATAGCAGCTCTCCGGTAGCTCTGGGCTCAAGTTACAGTCTGCTGCATAAAGTTATGAAAATACCCCATGAGAAAATTATTCTGTAATGTGTTCAGCTCACTAAAACTGCCCTGGTTTATTTATTTACTGATAACAGCTGCTCTCTTGGTTCTAGGTCCTCTGGTGTCTGCAGCTGGTCTCTGGTGTCTGCAGGTGGTCTCCTCTGCTGGTGCCATCAGGATCAGGAGCTTCCAGAAGAATGTGCCTTTCAATGACTCTTTTCTCCTTATTTGTTATATTAATTAAATAAATCTCAATTTATATATTTCCTGTTTTTGTTCATGTCCATAAATACTTAAACATGCTTGAAATTAAAACGAGCTTTTAACAGTGAGGTGCTAGTTTAATTCATCACAATAGAGCAAGTTAAACATGCATTGTGATAATTCAATTAATGTAATTTATAAATATCCATTAAAATATCAAAACTGGAATCTATATGAGATATTTGGCAGCACAAAAAAACTTGTCAAACACAATATTTATTTTAATAATTGTAGGCAGACAGGAGACAGAGCTGATGGAGGTTCTCAGTCATCGAAGGATGGCTGAAGGCTTTCCAGGAACAGGAGATGTGGTGTTGTCTCTTCTCTCTCTATTCTGCCAGATGAGCTGATAGGTTACAGGTGTGTGAGGACATCCTCATGCTGTCATAACCAGATGACAGGAGTTATCAGGTGATCAGCCAGGCTAATGAGATGCAGAAAGAAAACAAATTCAGGACAGTGTACTATATGTGGTGTTGCTCACCTTATGTGCTCTTATAGAGTTATTAACGTGTGCCTGCCTCATGGTGTAGAGTCCATATTTTGCTGAGTGTCCTGCAATAATGCAGGTTATTAGTTAATTTACTTTTGATAGCAAAAACAAAATATTTAATGTAAAAGTTGTTTTCCAGGTGAATCAGCTCACACGTCACCACCAAGTGTCACGGGGGCAGAATCAGTAGCCTCCGTCATGATGTAATCACATACTTATTTAATTGTTAATATCTTAAAAATTCTGAAATGTTTTAATTTTTTTTTACCTTGAACAGTTCACTGAGCTTGCACCGTCACTGAGGTGGAAGCTGGAATCAACAGCAGACACCTCACACCTTGGTCTTTTCAGGGGGTGTGGCCGCTGCTCTGAGACCTTCTGGAAGATGAATTTTCATCATGGTCCCCGTGGGTCACCAGACACACTGCGGCTCTGAACTCCATTCTGGCTGGCTATGTAAAAACAAAGAAGCAGCACATTTATAAATGTTTAAAAGAGCATAAAATCACGTGTAACAATAATCTGTAAAACAAATTAAAACTAGAAGGTAATAATAAAATGTTTACATAGAAGATTATTAAAAATAATTCACCTTTGCTACAGGGAAGGTTTCACGTCAGCCTGGAAAAGTGCATTCTTGCAGCTAAATCAGTCTGACAGCCAGTGTCTTGGGTAGATTTAGCCTGAAAAAAAAATATAAGCACATTGTTGTTGAGAGTTTATAAAGTCAGATAATATACAAAAGAAACTGTCCCATATAGGCGCTTTATAACATTCCTAGTGTGTGATCATTATAACGTAAAAGTCAGTCACACATGCAGTAGCGGTTTTAGGCATGGGCAGACAGGGCAGTTGCCCGGGGCGGCATTTTTTCATGACACAAAAGGGGCGCACAAGCGCGGAGTAAAAAAAAAAAGGAAATCTGCGCCGCACCGAGGTTTTCTATTATCTGTCATATGACAGTGTCTGGATTGGAAACAGCAAGTTGGCGCCCCCTGCAGTTGCAGGCGCTCCTGCTGACTGAGAACGTTCACGTGCACCGTGTGTCTATGAAGAACAGGAAGGGGAGGGGTGCGGCGGGGGAATTCACCTCTGCGTCTTTCCCAAATGAAATGAGCGTGCAGGGGCTGAATCAACTGTATTAACATGGCTAAAGTCAATCACATCTTAACGTTCTTCCATATTTCATTCATAATATCATAAAAACAGGCCTATCATTCTTTCAGGTTTCTCTGAATTGTGTGAAATGGCCGAATAAAAAAAGGAAAAACAAAACGATTTTGTGGTCACCCCCCCATCAAGGTCAAATTGTTTAGTCCTGACTAAAGGAAACTTACTGAGTCAGGAGCCAAACAGAAGAGATGAACATAAAAAGGCTAAAACCACCAGGTGCCCCCATTCAGGGGGAAAAAAAGAAAAAAGAGCAGAAAGATAAAGGTATGTAGCTCTCATGATGCATGTTTTCAATTTTTTGAACCAGTTAACTGGGATTTTAACGGTTAAATGCGGTCAACTAATTGCTAACAGAGCTAATAGGGCTGAAATATTTAAACGAATATTCAAATGGTTTGAAAAAAGTCCTTGAATCGTTTTTTACTGATTCAAACTAGGATTTGTTAAATGCTCACTGCAGCCTGTGGCCTGCCTGAACAACAACAAACATGTTGATCATGTTCACATAATAATAAATGAAACCACTCTACAAGCAGAAGAACGCTCCCCAGTCACCACTAACTATCCTGTTTATTTATTGCAGATGGCTGCACTGATTATTTTTTACATGATTTGTTCTGTAAAAGTTGGCATTTTTGGTAGTCTACAGTTTTTTATGTCAGTTTAAATTACAATTTCAGAGGCAATTCTAAAATATTATGGATCATGAGATCTATTGGAGATCTACCCCAACTTTTGGACTGCTCTGCCAGTCACTGTGGCTCAAGCTGAGAGGAGCTTTTCAAAACTTGATCAAGTCATACCTGAGGTCACCTATGTTTCAGGGGCGGCTCACTAACCTGGCTCTGATTAGTATCAATCACTCAGTAGGGGAGCAGATTTCATATGATGACATTATTGATGATGTTGCATCAAGGTTAGGTTTTAATTTTAGTTTGTGTTTTCTGTTCTAAGTGCAATGCTGTAGTGATTATCTTTAGTTTGTTACGTGTGAAATATTTTTGCTATTTAGAATATTTATTATCTATTATGTTCATATATTCTTAATATTTAGTTATTGTTTGTTTTTGTATATTTGATTCTATATATTTTGATACAGTATATAATGTATAGTGCTTTACATTCTGACAACTTCATAGTAATTAATGTAAATATGTGCAACTTAGAAAAATGAATGTTCAATAGTCGTTCTAATAAAACATGCCTGTTTGTAGAAAACATGCGTGTGTTCATGCAGGTGGTGTGGTGGTGGTGGTGGGGGGTTGGGGGGGGGGGGGCGCTCAAAGGGGGCCTAGCCCGGGGAGTAATTCGATGTAGAACCGCCACTGCACACATGATGTGGAGAGCATGAAATGCGACCTCCTGAACAGAATTCCTCACAGAACCTGTTCACAAGCTGGATTTCACGCTGTAATGCTGTCTGTCAAGTGCTGCATCAGTTAGAGCCACTGTTGCAGAATTGCCGACTGACTAGCTAAAGGAAGTGAACCACGTCTCTCAAACTTTGCATTTAGGTAGGGAATTGTCTTTAGAAGATGTTAAAACGTTTATTTAGCTTACTCACCTCAGACTGGAGCCCACCGTGGTGGGGGAGCAGAGTCGGTGGGCTGCATCTAAATCGCGGAAGAGCCACGGTGGGCTGCCTCCCTCTTCAAACGGAGACGTGCAGAATCGCGGGTAAAATGCCCACAGAGTCACCGCAAGCATACTACACTACACCTACTCACCAATACTAAGACGATATGGAGCACTAAACCCGAAATACTTTCCCAATTACGCTAACAGCCAAACACTAACTAAACTACAATATCAAACAGCCAAATCTAACACTAAATAAGTATTTATAACACTAAAAGATATGCTAAGACTAGGATATGCTAATGCTATATGCTAATGCTGAACTACCGCTGACCTCCTACACTTGCTTGCAAATCCAACTCCCACTCGCCACAGGGCGTGGCCGAGACGCTCGTTGCTTTTATAACTTTGGCACGGAGCTGCTACGTAGTACTCTACTGGTTTACGTAGTACTTTACTCTTTAGCCATTGGCTAAAATTTATTCAAAATGACTCAAATTCTATGTTTTCAGCTGAAGGTGGCGCATTACTGTGGTTTTTAGACAGAATTTTTAATTTTTAAAGAAAATGCACCAAAATGCTAAAATAAAGAATGCACACATTTAAAACACTATTAGACACTCATTTATACAGTTCATCAGCAAAAAAAAGTTAATTTAGACGTTACTTGCTCTTTAAGAGACACATAGTCAGAAAATGATCATTTCTAAAATGTAAACTGGTCATAAAAAACTAATAATGATTATTTTCTGGAAAAGGAAATTTTATATGTGAAAAATGTTAAAAATCCAAGTAAGTCACATTAAATTTTCTATTAAAATAAAAATTTAAAGCAGAGATTTTAATAACATTTCATTTAAATTTAAAACAATATTTTTCACAGATTTTTCTGTCTGTCCACTAGAGGGCAGACTGCTGTGATCACTGAAGCCACTGCTTGCTCTGCTCTCTGATCAGTGGGTGGTGTTGCTGGCCTGCAGAGGTGGAGAGTGAGATGTTATCTTTCGCTGTCTGTTCCTCTGTTGAGTTTTATCCCACAGCCACTCCACCAGGGAGAGTGCACCAAAATCATCGTTCATTCATGCAGCTTCATGTCTGCTCCACTCAAAAACACAGACTGTTAAAACTTCACACCCTGGAGACCAAAGGGAGCAACAACCCCAAGCTGGCTTCAGCTCAGATCTAAAATACACACACCAAAGAGCAGGATGACAGGTTGTCTAGCTTCTACATTAATAATCTGAATCTCTATGATTAGAAGATACAAAATAAAGCATTTTTTTGGAAGATGTTTGTTTTGAGATAGCGTTTATGGCCTTTATACACTGTAACACTCTTCTCTAGATTACAGATCTGAGTGCATTAGATGCTAAATCAGGACAACAAAATGTCTACAAGACTAATTAAATGAGCAGAAATATGGAGTCCATGAAAGAAACGTAAATCGTCTCTGTTAAATCATCAAAACAGACATTCCTCCACCTAAAAAGCCAGTGCAGTGGATCATCATTTGTAAGTAGCTTTGGACAAAAGCATCTGCTAAATACATAAACATAAACATCATCATTATTTAATTTGTTAACAAATTACAGGACACACAATCTTAAACAAACAAAGGTCAAATAAAAAACAAAAATCCAAAACTATCAGCCTCTGCAGGCCACAACTTGCTTATTGAATGCTACATTAAATAACGTCATGGCTAGGAAACAACCAGTAAGGATTGTTTGGAAGAGCTGTTAGATGGAAACTTCTTTTCTTTTAGAAGTTCATGTTCGCTCAAGTCTGCAAAATAAACTGTTGACTTCTCTGGTGGAGGAGAAGAGTAAGCCGTGATGAAATTTGATCGGAAACAGGACAATAACCCAAAGCTCAGCAGCAAATCAAGAACAGAACAGCTGAAAAACACATAAGTATTTAGGTGTTTGAGTCAGATTATATCCAGACCTCCATCTTGTTCAGATGCTGCAGTGGGACACTGACCAAGCCTTTCCATTGGATGTGTAATAGTATAGACACATTTTTCCTGGGAGCTCCTTCCTACAGAGGGATCTCCTTCAGAGATTCTGTGGTAATGTCATTTATGCAACGTGCCAATGTCTGATTTGTGGTTGTGCTAATTACAAACATTTACAAGCTGACAAATCTCAAAGTACGTGACTGATGTGGACCAAACACCCATCATTACTTTTCATTTAAATTGCAGTACAACATATGTGTGATCCAGGGCGTAAGGCAAAGCGGATTAGAAAAAAGCTATTTTAGCCACGTTGATTTGCATTCAGTTTTTGTTTTTCCGGGGACCCATGAGCCGACCGGAATGGGAGGAGACTTAGGCTCCCTTTAGATACACTGGGGGCGAATGGGGACCCATCCAAGATGGCGGCCGGCCACTACGGCAGCTCCAATAGGTAGTGCCAGTCCATGGGGTGTCTACGTATGTGATGTCTGTGACTGGAACTGCTGAGGTTGACACATTTATTCTAATTACATTAACGTAAGTGGGATGTGTAAATGTTGTTGGGGACAAATGTGTAAATTAGCACGAAAGTAAAATAAGCAATGCTTCAGAAAAGTGACAAAAGGAGTGAAAGCAGGACACACAGGGAGTGAGCGTGTCTATAAAGGGCAAGCCGTTATATAATTTAATCAGCAATCAGACCTCTCTCTTCCTATTTTAAAGCAAGTTGCATAGTAAGCAGAAAAATGTTGCAATTTTTTTCTACAAAATGAAGAAAGATCAAAGCTGTCTTTTTTTTTCTTTCTGCGAATCCAAAAAAGATTTGATCCATGACTGAAAACCGTGATCCAATCTAAACAGAGTTTTTTATTATTGCTGCACCACTAACAGTTATCATGGTATAGCAGAACACCACTGGTGTGAGAGGTTCACTGCTCAATAATATCAGAGAAGGAGAAACAGCCGGCTGCTACCACTTCAGCTTTAGGACAAACTACTAGAGGAAATCATAGACAACAAAAGATGTTTGGACATAGAACATGACTGGTGTTTAGTGCTCTCTTGTTTACTGTGGCAATGCAGGTTTTGGTACCAGAGGGGCATAGCCTAGGGATGACAGACAGGTGTGGGGAGAGTTCTTTGACTGTGTTTATGTTTAAAGGCTAACTTGTTTTGTAGGTCTCTTATTGCAGCTTTAATTAAAATGAGTAGATTTTTTTCCCTCAATTGCATTATATGTTCTAATAGGAGTTTATTTGGGTTGATGGTGAACATAAAATGTTTATCAAGTATGTAAAATACTCCAGCAAGCAGAACAGAGTCAAAGTCCGTCAACTACTGCGTGTGCACATCTGTGTAATGGGGAAATACAGAAACTGACAGTCACGGCTAAATGCAGCTCTGCACAGAGATGCTTCCTGTTTGTGTCAGCCAAAAGGACAAATCATGGAATGTTAAAAATCACAAAGCAACTGGTCATCAATAATCTGAAGTAAAACCAGACGGTTGACTTGCGTACTTTTACATATTTTTTATTGTGAAAAAGAAATACTGCAAATTTAACAATTATAGATGACTGAAATGTCAGACATATGAAAAGATAAGAAAAAGTTTACTTACGGAAATTCTAAGTATTTTACAAAAAATTCCTAAAAGAAAGGAAATGTAACAAGTGGATCTACTTTGGGAAAAATCAAACTTGCTAAATTACCACTTTTTAGTTTCTGTGTAATACTGGAAGAAAGAGAACTTCCTTCTTACAGGAAATGAGGAAACTCAAGAGTCCCACACTTATCGAAACTTTAAATTCTGCTTCAAAAATCTTTTTCACTAATCTCCTAATCTAATCTCATCTGTGTGACTGTGATTAAGGTGTCCTTTCTATGCCTGTTTGGCTGTTCAGCTGATTCCAGACCTTATTAAGAAAAAGTCTATTTGATATTTATGTGCAAATGCATCACATCTGTGAGGTAAAAACAAGACTCTGTGCATGTGGCTTTTTCAACACATCGTTTTAATCCACGCATCGGTCTGCAAACACACACACACACACACACACACACACACACACACACGTAAAGATATTGGTGTACGTACGGTCGCATTTCATGCCCTGGTGTATCAGCCCATACAGGAGGGAGCCACAGTGGTCGCAGAAGGTGGGGCTGGAGTAAGTGTGGATTCTAAACTTGTGTTTACTACGAGGATCCTGCGGACACAAATAGAAGCACAGAGAGGAGAAGACAGTGTTAATGTTTGCTCTAAAGTGGGTTGTTTTAGGAGTTTCACTGTATCTGTGTGGATTTATTTAGGCTGTTATTTAAAGAACTCACATCACAATCTAAAGAGAATGTTTAACAAAGCAAATGCTCTATTAAAATATGCTTTAAAGTCAAATTAGATTCGGGTGATGGTTCCGAGGCATGGTGACCCCTGAGGGATAAGAAACATCCTGGGGAACATCATCAGACAGAAGATGGTTCACATGGAGGACAGAACACCCCAACAGAATAGAGGGGTTAGTGTTTGTGTCAGTGCTGTGAGGAGGAAGCAAAAACTACTACACACACACAAACACATGAGAGCCAACGCTTCAGGTCAAGACTCAGCTGTCCACTTATATCTCACAGAAAAGAGACATGTTTTTAAGGACAGGAAGCCGAATCTAACCCCTTAGAAAGATTAACATCAATCCATATCTTCAGGAATATGGATACAAGCCAGGACAGGACAGCAAAGACACAAGGTCTCGTTTTATACAGTCTATGGTTACTATGGATCAATATTTAAAAGCAGAGCATTGATTTTTATTGAGAATTTACAAGCGGATATTAACTGGATTTCTTGTGTGGTGCAATTCAAACTGTGACTGCTAGATGGCAGCAGGTTTGGCCACCGTCATTCTGATGGAACAATTAGATCTTGAGATAATGCTGCATGCATCTTGGAAACATCTGGCCCGAGTTTCCCAATTAAATTCAGTTGCAATTGCAACTATCATCTGGCTTTGAGTATTATAATATATCATATAGTCTCCTCTGTTTTATGATATATATATCATATTGTCTGCACGGTTTATTGACAAATATGGTATCGTCTGTAATACTTAGCGATGAACATCGTATCGTCTGCACTGTTTAGTGGTGAAAATGGTATCGTCTGCACTGTTTAGTGACAAATATATCATCTGCACTATGTAGTGGTGAATATGGTATCGTCTGCACTGTTTAGTGACAAATATCATATCATCTGCACTTTTTAGTGACAAATATCGTATAATCTGCACTGTTTAGTTTAACCCACCCCTCTGCAGCTTCTGTACTGTTACCACCCACTACCCCATAGAGACAGTGTCCTGCCCAAGGCCAAAATCACACAGATTAAATATCAGGCTTAATAAAGCTAATCATGGAAATCGCATAAATATTAGAACAAATTCAACTGAGCAGAAAACTAGAAAAATTAAATGTAGGTTGTTGAACATTAGATCCATTTTTTCTAAGACTTTTTTAGTTAATGACTTGATTTGTGATAATCAGATCTCTTTGCTCTCTCTCACAGAATCCTGGCTGCAGCAAGAGGACTATGTTAGCTTAAATGAGTCGACTCCTTCAAATTATTTAAATCATCATATTGCTCAAAGTACAGGGCGAGGAGGAGATGTAGCAACCATTTTTCATTCAGACTTATTAATCAATCCCTTACCAATTAATAGTTACACTTCGTTTGAACATCTTATTCTTAGTTTTCCTAATCCAGATTGCACAACTGTAAAACCACTCTTGTTTGAAGTTTTATATCGTCTACCAGGCCCTTACTCTGAGTTTTTGGATCAGATATCTGATTTTTTTTTATCTGATTTGGTGCTAAATACGATAAGGTCATTGTAGTGGGGGATTTTAACATGCATGTGGACATTGAAAATGATAGCCTCAATGTAGCCTTTAGTAATACCCTAGACTCAATTGGTTTTACTCAAAGAATACATAGCTCCACCCACTCCTGCCATCATACATTGGACCTTGTGCTGACTTATGGCAAAGAGTGTGAGGAAATAACGATCTTTCCACATAATCCAGTCCTCTCGGACCACTTTCTGATAACCTTTGAGTTTTTTATAACTGAGTTCTCGAGACATGAAAGTAAATTTCATTATTGTCGGTCTCTATCTGACAACGCAGTTGCATCTTTTAAATCAACTGTTCCATCTTTACTGTCCTCAGCATCTCAAAGTAAGGTAGCAGAGGGCAATATTTTCATTTCTAGCCCTTCACAAATTGATGCCTTAGTTCATCATGTTAATTCCTCTTTACGTGTGGCATTAGATGATGTTGCCCCTTTAAAAAAGAAGGTAATTAGGGACAGGAAGTCGGCTCCCTGGTTTAATTCTCATTTACGAGCTTTAAAACAAAACTCTAGAAAATTGGAGAGAACATGGTGCTCTACGCACCAGGAGGAGTCCTCCTTATCCTGGAGAAATAGTCTTGTGCTTTATAAAAATAAGCTTCGACAAACTAGAACTGCTTATTTCTCAGCGTTAATTGAGGAGAAAAAGAATAATCCTAAATTTCTTTTCAGTACAGTTGCTAAACTAACACAGAATCATAGCTCTGAGCCATCTATTCCCTTAGCCCTCAGCAGCAATGACTTCATGGGATTTTTCACAAGTAAAATTAATTCTATTAGAAACAAAATCTTTAGCATCCTCCCTAATGCGATTTCTTCTTCCTCAGTAAGTGAGGCAGCATAAGAGGTGACTGTAGAACCTCATCTGTGCTTGAACCGTTTTGATCCAGTTGAGCTTTCAGAGTTATCAAAAATATTAGCTTCATCTAAACCTTCAACTTGCATTTTGGATCCAATCCCAACCAAATTATTTAAAGAAGCATTTCCTTTGGTTACTGCCCCCATTCTAGATATAATCAATCTATCCTTAGTAAATGGATAAGTACCACTGGATTTTAAGGTTGTTGTAATCAAACCTTCACTTAAGAAGCCTTCTCTGGATCCAGATGACCCAATGAATTATAGACCAATATCTAACCTTCCATTTTTATCTAAAGTCCTGGAGAAAATAGTGGTCATCCAATTATGTGAGCATTTAAACACTACTGATCTGTTAGAGGAATTTCAGTCTGGTTTTAGAGAGTATCACAGCACTGAAACTTCATTAGTGAGAGTTACAAATGATATTCTTATGGCCTCAGATAAGAATCTTGTGTCTGTTCTAGTCTTGTTAGATCTCAGTGCTGCCTTTGACACAGTTGATCACAATGTTCTTTTAGAAAGACTAGAACATGTTGTACGGATCAAAGGAACAGCGTTAGGCTGGTTTAAATCCTACCTGTCTGACAGATTTCATTTTGTAAATGTACATGACAAATCGTCTTCATACTCCAGGGTTACTTGTGGAGCACCACAGGGTTCAGTGCTTGGACCAATTCTTTTTACTATATATATGCTCCTAATTGGTAAAATCATTAGACAGCATGGGATAAACTTCCACTGTTATGCTGGCGATACTCAGTTATATTTATCCATTAACCCTGATGAACCTAATCGGTTGGGTAGATTACAGGCTTGTCTTGAAGACAAAAAATTGGATGGCTCTAAACTTTCTGCTTTTAAATCTAGACAAGACTGAAATTCTCATCTTTGGACCGAAACTTTATAAATGGAAACTGCTTAGTCAATCACCTGACCTGAACGACATTAAATTTGTCTCGGAGAACAACGTAAGGAACCTTGGTGTTATCTTTGACCAGGACATTCAAATCCCACATTAAACAGGTTTGTAGGATTTCCTTTTTCCACCTTCGGAATATGGAATATTGCTAAGATTAGAAGCATCCTTTCCAGGAGTGATGCTGAAAAACTAGTTCATGCATTTATTACATCAAGACTGGATTACTGTAATTCATTACTCTCAGGAAGTCCACAGAATGTAGTTAAAAGTCTTCAGCTTGTCCAAAATGCTGCAGCTAGAGTTCTGATGAGAATTAAAAAGAGAGATCATATCTCTCCTGTCTTAGCTTCCCTACATTGGCTACCTGTTAAATTCAGAATAGATTTTAAGATCCTTCTTCTCACATATAAAGCTCTTAATAATCAAGCTCCATCATACATCAGTGATCTGATTGTTCCATACGTTCATAGCCGAGCACTTCGCTCTCAGACTGCAGGTCTACTGGTGGTTCCCAGAATATCTAAAATTAGGATGGGAGGCAGATCTTTTAGTTATCAGGCTCCTCTCTTGTGGAACCAGCTCCTCGTGTTAGTCTGTGAGGCAGACACCTTGTCTACTTTTAAGAATAGGCTCAAAACATTTTTATTTGATAGGGCCTATGGTTAAAATCTGATGTTAGCCTAGATCTGGACAAGTGGGGGAGTAGAGGGGGGTGGAGTGTACAGTCGGTAAAGACGGCTCTCCCTTGCCCTGCCTCCAACATGCCTCCATCTAAAAAGGCTAGGTTATCCAGAGTAATCTCTGTAGTTATGCTGCTATAGGCTTAGACTGCTGGAGGATACACTGACCACTTTTCACACTCTACTACTTTCTTCTACAATCTGCTCTTTAACTGTATTATTTCCTGCAATTTCAGCTATTAACTTTATTTTTTCTCTAAGTGTTTTTCTCCCCAGAGGAAGCTACAGTGATTTTCTGCTGAGCTGTGGTGGCCTCATGGAGGGGGCCATCGTCTAGCACACTGCTACTAACCACTTAAACATTCTCCCTCTCCTGATAATAACTTTTTGCTTCCTTGACGTTGGATGTGCTACTTCTAGTTTACCCGTTTAACAATAGATTCACTAGGGTAAATACAATAAAGTTTATTTCTCGCCAAATAGAATATTTACTAAGCAATCACATTGTAACCATGGACACATTGCTTGGTGTGTGTGTGTGTGTGTGCGTCCATGCGTGTGTGTGTGTGTGTGTGTGTGTGTGTGTGTGTGTGTGTGTGTGTGTGTGTGTGTGTGTGTGTGTGTGCCTGCTCTGTCTTCTCGATCCCCAGTGAGTCGTGGTGGATGGCTGCTTATACTGAGCCAGGATCCTCTGGAGGTTTCTTCCTGTTAAAAGGGAGTTTTCCTCTCCACTGTCGCTTGCTTAGTATGAGGATTGCTGTAAAGTCACTGACACTAGTCAGTGACTTGATGCAATTTGCTGGGTTCCTTATATAGGAAACTTTTTTTTTCTTTTCTGATTGGCTTAATGAACTGACCTGAATTGAAATGTTCATTATGTGAAGTGCCTTGAGATGACTCTTGTCGTGATTTGGCGCTATATAAATAAAACTGAATTGAATTGAATTGAATTGAATAGTGGTGAATATCATATCGTCTGCACTGTTTAGTGACAAATATCATATCGTTTGCACTGTTTGTGACAAATATGGTATCGTCTACACTGTTTAGTGATGAATACTGTACAGTCTACACTGTTTAGCGATGAATATCGTACCGTCTATACTGTTTAGCGATGAATATCGTATTGTCTACACATTTTAGCCATGAATACTGTACAGTCTACACTGTTTAGCGATGAATACCGTACAGTCTACACTGTTAAGCGATGAATACCATACAGTCTACACTGTTTAGCGATGAATATCGTATCGTCTACACTGTTTAGTCATGAATATCGTACCGTCTACACTGTTTAGCGATGAATACCGTACAGTCTACACTGTTTAGCGATGAATATCGTACCGTCTACACTGTTTAGCGGTGAATATCGTACAGTCTACACTATTCAGTGGTGAATACCGCACAGTCTACACTGTTTAGCGATGAATACCGTACAGTCTACACTGTTTAGCGATGAGTATCGTACTGTCTACACTGTTTAGCGATGAATACCGTACAGTCTACACTGTTTAGCGATGAATACCATACAGTCTACACTGTGTAGTGGTGAATACCGTACCGTCTACACTGTTTAGTGATGAATACCGTACAGTCTACACTGTTTAGTCATGAATACCGTACAGTCTACACTGTTTAGCGATGAATACCGTACCATCTACACTGTTTAGTGATGAATACAGTACAGTCTACACTGTTTAGCGATGAATATCGTATCGTCTACACTGTTTAGCGATGAATACCGTACCGTCTACACTGTTTAGCGATGAATACCGTACAGTCTACACTGTTTAGCGATGAATATTGTACCGTCTACACTGTTTAGTGATGAATACCGTACAGTCTACACTGTTTAGCGATGAATTCTGTACCATCTACACTGTTTAGTGATGAATACAGTACAGTCTACACTGTTTAGCGATGAATATCGTATCGTCTACACTGTTTAGCAATGAATACCGTACCGTCTACACTGTTTAGCGATGAATACCGTACAGTCTACACTGTTTAGCGATGAATATCGTACCGTCTACCCTGTTTAGCGATGAATATCGTACAGTCTACACTGTTTAGCGATGAATATCGTACCGTCTACACTGTTTAGCGATGAATATCGTACCGTCTACACTGTTTAGCGATGAATACCGTACAGTCTACACTGTTTAGCGATGAGTATCGTACCGTCTACACTGTTTAGTCATGAATACCGTACAGTCTACACTGTTTAGCGATGAATACTGTACCATCTACACTGTTTAGCGATGAATACCGTACCGTCTACACTGTTTAGCGATGAATACCGTACTGTCTACACTGTTTAGCGATGAATACCGTACAGTCTACACTGTATAGTGGTGAATACCGTACCGTCTACACTGTTTAGTGATGACTATCGTACCGTCTACACTGTTTAGTGGTGAATACCGTATTGTCTGCACTGTTTAGTGGTGAATATCTTATAACCAGATTCTTGCCAATACACACTAAAATATCACGCCAAATTATCATAAGTACTTCATGCTTCTAAGTGATCAACTCGATTAGGAGGATGGACTGTAAAGCTGCGTTCCATAAAAAGCCGTATTCAGTGACCAGAAGAATTGTCATATTTTACTTTGCTCTTTAGCAGGCTACAAAGGAGCGTAATTACAGTGTTGTGTGGGAATTTCCACCACATGTTTTGGCATTGGGAGTTTAAAGACAGCAATTTTAAAACAGAGTGGTTAGGCTACATCTGCAGATATAATTTCCCAATGAGGTAAAACCAGTAAGCATGAGTTACCCACAACCAGGAACTCTACTGGCCCATTTACTAGTACATACCCTGCCAAAGGTACTCAGTTGGTCCATGCAATGGACCACAAAGTGGTTGTTTTCTTTGATGGATTGCATACTTAATACTAAATCCCAATGAGATTTAAATGGATAAAAAATCCTGGGTGACAGGCTGAGAAATTAAAGGTTTTGGATTTAAGAGAATAAAAAGCTCTGGTAATTTAATAACATTGGGGATACAGATCAGCAAACACCATTCAGCATATGACTTGAAAAAGGTGTGCTAGTCAAAAAAATTATAGTAAAAAAGATCATGTGCGGGAAGGATGATGGTCCATTAACTTGAAGCAGCCAGGCAGCACATTTTCCTCTTTACTGACAAATCTTAACATGGTATTGGTCCGGAATGTCAGCAGAGGAGGCCAAAGTCCACATCTTTGTGTGTGTGTGTGTGTGTGTGTGTGTGTGTGTGTGTGTGTGTGTGTGTGTGTGTGTGTGTGTGTGTGTGTTTGTGTGTGTGTGTGTGTGTGTGTGTGTGTGTGTGTGTGTGTGTGTGTGTTAGAATAGCTAAAGCTGATCTGACTTGGTTAATTAATAACCACCACTTAACTGCAAAACAGCCTGTTTGTAATTACTTACGTCAGATGCAGGCCCTTTGTCGGCCCCCGGACAGGAAAAAGTGACAAATTCATGACAGCGCTTGTGCACCACAAAACAGCACACTAGAAAAGAAGATGAAAAAAGACAAATATTATCTCTGGATCACTTCAATTCCAAGATATGGAAACAAATATAGACCCACCAAGACAAATGAAAACATATATGCCAATGATAATTTACATCCGAGTCATTTTTCCATTCAGAAAATTACTTTTTTTTTAAATCTGCAGCACAGATTGATTCAAACAGAACCGTATCATGCTTGGTATCATGATTACACCTAATAATGTAAAATCTGCTGCAGGAAACTCCCCACATTAGCAGCTTCCCGCTCACAGTTTGACATTGCTCCCTAAAATAAACAACACAGTCAAATGTCTTTAGTCAAGGGTTTTCAGACATGCTCTAAACGTTCTCACGCCTGGTCCAGAGGGGCTCATGGTAAACTAATTAGACATTTTCTGAAGAAGGAGATCACATGGGAACACAACAGCAAACAGAATGTGAGCAGTGAGTGAGTGTGTCAATAACACATCATTTTAAGGTTTTCTACGTGCTTGTACCAATATGAGGTAGGCCTACTGAGGCAACACAAACAGCTATCAGGAAGCCACATTCACAGAAAGCCATTTGATGTAAACAAAACATGTCTGGCTCTGCCCAGGAGCTAGTTTTGCCGTGGGAGTGTCTTTCCAGAGAAAATTAACGTGTGAGCAGAACTGCTGAATATCCAGAATTTAAGAGATTTCAGATGGGCATGCCACGTAGACCTCTGCGGGACCGTGCCAGGATGAAGATGACGCCGTTCCAGTTTGACACTGATGATGGGATGGGGTCTTAGACCAAGCATGAGCAAACATGCAAAGCCAGTCTTGTTTCAAATTCTGGACAACCACACCATTATGCTTTTAAACACAGGTTTTTCATATATATATCATATATATGCCCCTTATATGTGATACACAGATCACATATAAGGGGCAGAGGAGGCCATTGATTAGGCAAAGGTCTTGTAGAATACCTTGTAAACGTGATTTTATTCATTTGTTGTTATTAAAGTGTGTCTTACTCATCAATATCAGGATGTAAGAGCAAAAAGTAATAAAAATAAATTTAAAATGCTAAATAAAATAGCACAGCTAGCCAAAATAGGTTGAAACTTGAAAGCAGATACCCTTAATTCCCTTTTTCTAGGTTAAAGTATATGTTTAAAGGATCAAGTTTTATTTTAAATACATATATTTTTTAGATATCTATTATAAAAAAAACATTGTTACATGAAAACAGCTGTCCTTAAAAATATCAAGTATTTCTATTACGTAGAGTGCTTTTAGACTAATGGACAAGCAACATAGTAAAAAAAAATCCATTAGATTAACCTGATTATAGAGCTCCGGGAGTTGAGGTCACTTCTCCCGGCATGCAACAGTTCAAATCGAAACAACGCCATATTGGCAGGCAGAAGCCGGCAGTTGGACTATTTGTTATTGTCAGAAAACTCAATCAAACGGGAAATATGGTAGATTCCTGTTGTGCCCCAGGATGCAGAACAGACGCAGACGACATAAGGGATGAGCCATCTGCAGGGATCCGGAGCGCTGCAAACGTTGGATCATAAAACGCGCAAGTGACCGGGCTAAAATGAAGCTGTGGGACCCCGAGAGAAAAGGTTTTCACTTATGCAGCGACCACTTCATATCAGGTACTTAAACCAACGTTTCCTCAACTGTGTATGGTATTTATTTTAAATGCTTTTATTACGATTCTTAGTGGGCTTCCTAAACTTATTTTGGCGTGGCTTTTTCTGTCTTATTACTCATAGCAACAAGTAAACATCACGTAAAACGTTGCCTCGTGTTTCTGCGTGCTGCCGTTTACGTGTTTTATGATCACAGCAATTAACCGGCTAAGCTGTATTTAATTTCTAAGCAATGGTTGATCAATTGTCAGATCACACATAAAAAGCACTTTGGATTGCTGTTATTTGTCTCACCGAGACAGATCTCAGACAGATCCTGAGACGCTCCTGCCTGACATATTTATTTTATTCACGGGAAAAAATCAGACTAGTGATTTCTCTTGGCGTTCAGTTTATACATTCAAACAGCACAGCATTCTATTTAAACTACTTACATGTAAATCTGTTATTTGTCCACCCATCCATCCATTTTCATCCGCTTATCCGGAGTCGGGTTACGGGGGCAGTAGCCTAAGTCGAGAGGTCCAGACTTCCCTCTCCCCAGCCACTTGGGCCAGCTCCTCCGGGGGAATCCCAAGGCGTTCCCCGGCCAGGTCCGGTAAGAAGTCCACTCCGACAGCTTCTGGTGTTTTTAAAAAGTATCCCAGGGGCATGGTAAGGGTCGGAGATGTTTAGCCTATTTAATTTCTGACTATATAAAACTATTTCTTCGGTTTTAAAGTGTGAAGTAAACTCCAACGAAGTAAAATCCAAGCCGATCCCGTTCATTTTGTTTACCTTTGTTGCCTGCCAACATGGCGTCTACTCTCTGAGAGTCACGTGACGTCCGGAGCTCTATAGTATGAATGATTGTCTAACCGTCTAAGTTGTACTCCGGGTGAAAAAAAGCTCATATACGCTTGTTTTAGCATGGAGAAGTCTGCTTGTGGAGAAAGTAGCTTCAGATGACAGGATTTTGAGTCTTACATCCTGCTATTGATGATTGATTATGCTGCTTCACTGCCACCTAGGATTGACTGAATAGTGTTTGTTGTTAGCCTCAAGGGCAACCTGCTGGCTTGATTATCACCTGTAAGTTGCTTTGGGCAAAAGCATTTGCTAAATACATAAACATACACAAACATATTTGGACATCTCGCTTCTGATTGGCTATCAGACACGTGACTACCGGTGACTTTGTTTGCATTGCAATGCTGATGTTATCTCCACAGATAACACAAGCCTGCAGGAGCTCTGCAGTGTTGTGGAGTTGCTGCATGTTAAACTCATAGTGACTGGTCATTTAAAAAATAAGTAAAAAGATGGTTTCTCAGTGAAGGATTCCTTTAAAAGGCAAATATTTAGATGTGAAAGCCTAAATTCAAATTCATTCTACAAATGAATTTATAGTCTGGCCACGACTCACAGCACTCAGTGATGGGGTGGATCTACAGTTGTCTCAAACCATCTCTGCATGATATTGGACAACACTAGGACCAATTAGAGCAACAAACAATATGACGTATTAACCACTAAGGAAATCAAGAAGAAGAAGAAGAAGAAGAAGAAGAAATACAACACATTTAGTCTAAATCGTCCAAAGTTGATGCCAAAGCCATTTGAGATATAAGAGCTCCAGTCATTAGCTCGCTCTGCTCAAGCTGCAGTTTCAAAACCATCATGGAGGATAAACCACACGTGCTTCAGGCTGAACGAGTCACAGATTGGAGGAGTCTGAAGTATGGGTACTTCAAGGTGGCCAATAATAAAAGGTAGTTTGTTCGCTCTTCGAGACTTCTTCGGCTCACCACAGCAGCAGACTCGATGCATGAGCACTTTTGAAAGCTGGCAGAAAGTACACCACAATGTTTACGAAGCTACAAAATTTATTTACCAGTGAATGAATGCCTTTTAGTCGAGTCCTGGCCCACTTTCAACTGTTCAACACCAAGTCTGTCTGTTATTAGGACAGGTGTGACTTTTTCCCATTTAGTCAGGTAGATGATCTCAAATTCATAGCTAATGAATTGAAAAGATCCATATTTAAAAAAATGCAACATGAGAGACGTTAGTCAAATTTAGGTTGTTTTACCTTAGAAAAACAACTAATAGCTTAATTTTGTTAATTTTTATTATAAAGTGGTTCTTTACTTATACTTTTATATGCAACCATTTTTTGTTGTACGCTTTAAATTCACAAGATGACAATTGAAAATAATCAATGTAAGTCATCTCTGGCAGCCCTAACAAAGAGTTAAGTGAAATTTTAACAAATATCCTCTTTGTTCTTATTGCATATTACCATGTAACAGAGGTCTTCATCCTGTTTGATGGAGGTTTTAAAAAAAATAAAAATAAATTCTCAGCACCGTCAGCAGCAGGGTGCACGTCATAGCTCTTCATGGCCAGGTTGCAAACCTTGTTACACATTGGTGAAAATACCTTAAACTCATAACTTTTAGTGCAGCTGTATCAAACTTTAAATAAATCTTACAAGAGAGGTTGTGGCATGTGGTCAGAAAATTGGTGTTCCATTTTTTATGCAGTGGTTTGCTTTGATTCATTCATTCATTCATTCATTTATTTTTAATAACATTTTCTGAGCTTTAGAGCTGGTTGGACAAAATTTCAATTTTCAAGAAACTCCTGAAGACCCTGCTCTTCAAAGAGCATCTTCTAAACTAGCACCCTGCCTGCACCCGTCCCCCCTTCTCTACTGTCCACTCCTTGTTCCCTCCTCTCCATGACTGATGTCAAGTTGTTGTTGTTATTGTTGTTGTTAGCCTCAAGGGCAACATGCCGATTATCCCTTGTAAGTTGCTTTGGACAAAAGTGTCTGCTAAATACATAAACATAAACATAAATGGTTAAATAATCAATTTTCAAAAACTAAAATGTTGGCTACTTGTCATTTCCTAACAGAAAATCTTCTAAGTCAAAAAGACAAAAGGAGAAAATTAGGATATGGTCTCTTTAAATTCCAAACAGACTACTAAAAACATAAACATGACTTAGGCTGTGGGTCAGTTGCATAAAAAAGAACATGTCCCTGCAAACACAAATGTGAATGTGACTCCATTAAGATAAACAGGACAGATCAGTCAGAGACTATCGCCTCTACAGCTGCACGACTGCGGTTTAGCCTCAAATTACAGCTGTGCTCTCGTAGCACAGAAAATATACAGCCGCAACAGCGTTAACCACTTCCACTCCACAGTGGCTCACAACAGCTAAAATTGGAAATCAGACTTTACTTTGCATTTCTATCAGGCACCATGAAAATATTAGCATGCTGACGCTGGTTTATACTCAAAAACACACACACAGGGTGACATTAGTCAGATTTGATCTTAATTATTCACCTACTCATTACATTTTCATGATGCACCGTGGCAACGGCGAACACTTTCCACGAGTTTCATGAAGGTAAGTAACAGACGACTCATGATTGTGTTGATGTGTGCGCTTTTATCTGTGTGTGGGCTGGAGATCTGGTCACGTTCACTGCACTCAACTCTGCCACAGCTCTAACTAGAGGCGAGATTGGTCAAGAGGTTGTTGAAGCTATGCATGATGCAAAAAGGCTGAGGTGAAGTGATGAATAGAGGAAAAAACATGTTTGGTTTTCTTAAAAAAGGAGAAAGATACAAAAGTGGGGAAGCTGGGTCACAAAGAGTTAAAAATAGAGAAACTGCAGTATGTCTCTATTTGAAAATGAGTTTTACAGCTGGGGAGGAAGAATGCTTTAAAAAATAACGACACTCTGATAAAAGATGGTTTGAACCGAGGTTTCAGGGGTTTCGAGTTTGAATCCGGTGAAGATCTGAGCCAGAACAGGAGCTGAATTATGCACATGTGATGATTAGGATAGGAGGGAGAGGGTTTGGAATGTGTTTTTCACACGAGGGTCCTCATGGGGGTACATTTGGATATTTGTGTGCGTGTGTGAGTGTGCTTGTGTGAATGGATGCAGGCACAGCTGGGTTTGAGGCAATCTGAGGGGGCGGAGATATTTATTTGTGTGTTTGCAGCATATCAGAGAGATGAGAAGACCTGGAGCACAGAACACTGTTAAAACTGCACATTCACTTTAGAGACATTTGCTCATCAGTATGTCAGTTAAACAAAAATATTTGTAAATGCGCACACACACACACACACACACTACTGAAAGAAAGGCCTAGTGACCTGGCAAGGAGGTCTTTGCTCTGTTGCTTAGCAACCAGCCTGAGCCCTACAGTCCAGGCAACACTCACCACCCGGTTTTATTTGATTGACAGTGTTTACAGCAAATCAGGACTAGACCCCCCCCACACACACTCACACACACACACACACACACACACACACAC